GAATATTATAAACTATATCACCGGTATCTTTTTTTAATTCTGTCCAACTTTTATTTCTTCCCTTATTGGATTTTTCTCCTTCTTCTACTCACTACCCAGTTATTTGAATCTGTAAGAATTTTATCATATTGCCCAAGTTTTCTAATTTCTTAGCTTGTTGCACTTGTTTCAACATTCAACCTCGGTGTACAGCCCACGTTTTTAGTTTTCGTTTACATTCATCCCATCCCAGAGAATTTCATGGTTGTTCAATTTTTCGATTTCACCTGACCATTTAATCAATACTGCATTAACTTCATTTTTAAACATATCGTCTTTTAGAAGAGATGTGTTCAATTTCCAGTAGCTTTTTCCTAATTTTACATTACTCGTGTTTTTTATTGTTACAGTAGCCGTATTGGAAGATGATCTGATAAAACGCTGACTGATATTTTAGAGTGTACTGCACTTGAAATTAAGTTATTAGAAATCAGAAATTTGTCTTTTCTGTAATAGATAATTTGAACTTCTCCAAGTTAATTTTTATATTTCTGGGATTTGATTTCGCCAAATATCTATCAACTTCATACGATACATCATTTCTTTCAGATATCGGACACTACTATCTCTGATGCATCTGGAACATGTGTTTTATCTCGATTTTTTGTTATGCAATTAAAATTCCCTCCCCATATAATTGCCCATGGTTTGCTATTTGTTTGGTGATTAATAATATCTATGAATTTTAAATCAATTTCTTTGAAAAAAATTTCCCGTTCTCTCATATAGTTTGGAGCCTAAGTATTACATATTATAATATTACAATCATTATATTCCATAGTACATAATATATACCGGCCATTTCTGTCAATAATTAAAGAAATAGTTTTTAGATTTACGTGTTTGATAATTAGAATAGAAACACCACATTTTGGGTTTGAAAAGGTGGTCCAAAATCCTTTCCCTACCCAATTCTTTGACCAGGATTTTTTTAATCAATATCCCTTGAGCAGTCGGTTTCTTGTAAAAAAGCAATATTCACCTTCTGCATTTCCAAATATTTGAATATTGCAATACGTTTTGTTGGATTACGCATTGTCCTAACATTGAACGAAATTAGCACTAAACTAGAAATCATACAAAGATGAATAATTAACTAAAAAGGAACAAAAAGCTGGATACTAAATCTGAAACCAAATTAAATAAGTTACATAAGTTTTTGCATTTTCTAAAGCATAGTCTTCCATGTCATTATTTGTATGCGTCTTGCTATTTTCAATAGTATTCTCAATTAATTTATGTGAACTCACTTTTGCAGGTCCCACATTTTTACTCCTTTGAACGGAGTCTTCTTCTTCATCAGCTTTTCTTTTTTCACCTTTTTAATTGCCCATGAATTTCCCAACTTTCAATGAGGTCTTGTGTCCCCATTTTGATCATATGAATTTTATCCTTTTTATACATATGTGTAGGAATTTCTCCTTCTTGTAAAGTAAAATTTATTGATGGTTAAATGTACAGCACTCCATTTTTTTCTTCTGTTTCCTTTAATTGCTTGTTAATAGCGATTTGATCTTGTTCATTTCCAAAAAAATCATACCGTGATATAATCCCACTGATAATACCCCTTTTTGTTTTGAGATTTTACCCAACTTATCTGCATCTTTTTCCACAAGTTGGTTTGAGTCGATGTTATTTGATCCTGCGTATAATATGACAGTGTATGAAATTTTGTTCATTTAATATTTTGAAAGTATGTTTTGAATTTTTCGAATGGTGCACCCAGAAAATTCTGCTACTGATTTGAGACCCTTGCAAATCAGCATGTACTTATATTTGAGATACTGTTTGGTCGTTGACTAGTAATCCATCATTTTCATTTGTAGGGGTTCGTTCACTTTTCTTCGTTTTGGAATTCAACAAAGTTCCAGGGGTCTTTTCATTTTCTGACGAATTTATGTGCGCTGTTTGTGTATCTTCTTTATGTTGATTGATTTCGGTATTATTCTTGTTTGATGACTTATTTATATTTGATTCACTCTGTCCCAGCTGTACCATTGTTTGAGCAATCATGAACTCTTCTATGGTTTTATTCTCTTTGTCACTAATGCGCATATGCATTATTTTTACTGCTTTATTATCCGGTTATTCATCACAATAAGATCCGGATATCAGAAATCAAAATAACTGTCGGTTATCCGTATAACCGGATTTTGCCATTGAGATGATATATACACAGTGATAATGCGCATATGCATTATTTTTACTGCTCTATTATCCGGTTATTCATCACAATAAGATCCGGATATCAGAAATCAAAATAACTGTCGGTTATCCGTATAACCGGATTTTGCCATTGAGATGATATATACACAGTGATTTCCCTACACCCCCCTACGCGATTCGACACTGTTATTCCCATGTGCGATTCCACAGTCCACACTGTAATTCCTGACTCAATTATACTTGTATTCAAATATAACGACTATGGAATATTTATCAGTGTAGATGAGGGGTTCCAAACCGCGGGCCAATTACGGCCCGCGTACCGATTTAAAATGGCCCGCCGAACTTGAGTAAAATAGTTTAACACTTCATGTGGTACTTTTGAGTTTTAGATTCCGTCTATCGTTACATCATTATCACAGTTTAAGTACGTTTATTTTGTAACAATTGAATTATACCGGTATCTTATGTATACGTATGGGTATTAGAATTACACACCGCAGTATTTTAGATACCGTATTAGCCATATATTACGAAAGCTTAAAGATGTCACAAAACGAAAACTAGGCACTGAAAACAGACATTTTTTAGATGAATGGCAAGGTTTTTCTTTCTTTATTGGAAAAAATAAAACATCAGCGATTTGTCTTCCTTGCCAACAAAATATTTCAGTTCTGAAGGAATACAACATTATGCGCCATGATGATCAGTTGACGCGCGTATTTCAAAATTTAATTCATTGCTTGATTCGTACAAAAGTAAAACAAACATGTTCAAAAAAATGTGGAATGTGTAACAAAGTAGCCATTCATACGATGCCATATGCTAGAGGAGCAAGTAACTTCATTAGTCACTATAAATTGTAAATTACTTGCTGAAAGCCGTGCTTGTTATTTATTCCTCGGGAATTCTATCAGCTGAATATTATAATTATTAATTTCATTACATAACAAACTGCGATGCTAGGTGTATCTAAAATCAAGCTCAGAGCCTATTTTGGTGCTTATTTCTCAAAATTTACTCAGTGCGCTTAGGCGCGTCCTGAACCTGAACCTCAGCCGTGTCGTCGCGCACTTTTCCTCGCTCCCCTTTTCTGGCCCTACATTTTTATTCTGCTGTGTATTTTGGCTCGCCGTCAATCAACTTGGGGAACCCCTCATGTACATCGTTTCTTAAATACATACCAATTTTTGAGAATACAAATAGTTTAATCGCTAATAGCAAATTATTTACCACCCCCTAAATTTCGAAACACCCCCCAAAAATTAAAAGCTGGGGAACATACTGTATATACACCCCAATGGATTTCGCTTACTCTCAGAATTCATCGTTAACTCATTGCACCTCATGCTTGTGACGTATTTGGGCTAAAAATGTGACTTTATCGGCCCGTTTGTGGTGTCTTCGCGCTCCGCCTCATGTTGTCACGCTAGTGCAGTAGTGTTTGTGTTTGCGTGGTACCGGTACGGCACTGCGTAATTCAATCGAATACTGTAGTGATCCAGTTATTCAATGCTCTGATATTGGTACCTTGTTTATGATAGGGCCGCAAGACGCAAATACACCAATACCGACAGCGTGTAACGCTACCGTATCGTACAGTTCAGTCCTAGATCCAGTAGGTCTGGCGATGAACATCATTCTGGTTTAAAGCCAAGAATTGCTGAATTGAATGATTCGTATTTTCAATCTTATCACAGCTTGATCAATGATTGTTTTCATTCGGCCTAGTTTACCGGTACCGGTGTAGAAATATTTTCTTAGATAGGTTTACTTCGACTCCATAATCAGAGCATAAAGGTGATAAAACGTTAAAAAAAAACAAATAAATAAAAACTGATTATGAAATCAGGAGAGTAAAGAAAACCTTAGATAAGGTTTAAAACGTACAGAATATAGGATCAAAGGTACCGGTATTGCCAAAAAGAAGTGGTACGTGTTCACTCACCTAAAACTATGAAATTAAATCATACCGGTACACACTCGCACACACACACAAACAACCATAGAACTTTAATATAATTAGAAATAATAGAGAAGCTTTAGATAAATTATATTCGAACATATAAAATAAACACGTAAAAAAATAATTAGAATAAAAGATAAGAGATGTAGTTTGAAATAGGATAAATTTATCGGATTGGTTTATAATACTGTAATAGTGTTGATTTTGTGGTAATACACTACTGTACCACCGGTAATTAGATACCGTAGTTTATTTTGAAAACATCATAACACGCAAATTACTGAATTAAAAATTGATGACATTCTCTATTTTTTGAGTCTAACGAAGCGCACACCGTAACTCCCTAAAATGACAGCAAATAAAATTATGATGTGAAAATTAATGCTGTAACTGCATAAGTAACGCCAATCAAAAATGTGATGTAAAAATAGAACTCAAATTCTTCTTATTCTTTCTTAATAAAAATCTTGACTTTCGACGAACGCTATACCCTATTTGGCACAGACATACCTTGCTTGGTTGAAAATTGAGTGAATTTGGTTTTAACTAAACGCGTCTTTCAAGAATTTTGTCCCGCACCAGACAGAATATTTAAAAAATATATATAAAAATTTCACATCACATTTCTTTTTGACATTACTGCATTAATAGAGCAGTTTAAGCAGTAATTTTAAGTCAAAATTTTGTTTGGTGTTATTTGATATAGTTATATAGTATTTTTTTTTAGAAATCTGTTGTCAATATAGTGTTGTCCCTTTGTGTCCATGCATTTTCTCTTTGCTATGATGCGACTAATTCAGTAATTGTTGTACTAAATTCAAAATTTCATTTTTTTTGTATTCAAAGGCGGGGTTTTGATAAAAATTGTGTAAAACTAAAACAACATAAGCTAAAGCCATGTCTGAGGCACCGGCTGATGAGAAAAGAGTGACCCCACCTCAGGTAGTTTTCATATATTATCATCTGCTGAATTGTAATTACTGGCTGACAGAAAGGTCAAGGGCTATTAAACTCACATATACAACTCATTTGATATCTGGTGTATTGGTAATAACTCGGAATGAGTAGGGGAAATAGTCTCACAGATGGTCTTTTGGCGGAGGTTGAAGTTTACTTGAATTTACCCTATTTTCTTACCAACCTCAATAATGGTACAAATTGTGACTAAGAGTTAATGGTTGCAAGAGTGTTAGAACCCAAGTACATAAAAGCGCCCACTTCTAAGTTCTAGCAACTTTTTTTGGGGTACTTTCTACCCCTTTATCAGCCATACTTTTTGTATATTTTCTCTTTTCTAGGTAACTAAACAAGAGATGACTCGAGAAGAACAATTCAACACAGCGGCATCTGTTTTAACGTCAAAGCTTGCACAAATCGCTGGACAAACTCTTGGAGCTGAGGCTTCTGAATTGCAAGATTTTGAAAACATCAGTGGCGATGAATGCCTCCCTGTCGATTTAGAAACACAAGCTAGGCTTGAGGCTCTGTTAGAAGCTGCTGGTATGATATTTTAACTGTGTTGCAATGTTCATTGCAATACTATGTTTAATCTTAAAAGTCTCATATTAGCAAATTGTGATGTAACAAATATACATCTAAAAATTTGTGTCTCATTCACTGAAAATTCAATTTGCCTGAAAAGGTATTTATTGTCTTTATTAAGGTATCGGAAAGTTATCGACATCAGATGGAAAAGCTTTTGCAGACCCCGATGTTTTGCATAGATTAACATCGACTGTTTCATATGCATTGGATGAAGCGGCTGCTGCTTTGTCGAGACTTAGAATTGAAGCCGCAGGACAAGATATACAGAGGTATACATCAATTTGATGGCATTTTGGGGGGTTGGTTGCCTTCCTATTCAGTTTTTGACCCCCTCTGTTATGCACATTTTATCATCATAATATTGTCAAAAACCTGTTGGCTATGTCTAATATGATACTTTCGAAAGGAAGTACTACTTTATTTTACAATTTGTTTGTATTGATCAAAATGTCAATTTTACGATCAAATTATCCTAAATACTTTTTATATAATATAAAAACAGTTCTTGTTAAGTTTTTAATTTTTGTCAGAGATGCTCTGTTTGTTAAACCATATTTTTTGCATCTCTGATTGTGTATTCATTTTTTGTTACTGACATGTAGCAATAATTTAAAAAAAATGTGACGATCTTGTTCATTTAATTATATATTAGCTTATTTGTAGGTATTTTACACCTAGTGGACATATAGATCATTTCGATAAATTTTTGACGGTGATCTTCAATATTTATGTTGTTGTTATTGGAACTAAAGTCACAATCGCTGTTAAATGTTTAATTATTAAAAAGAAATTACTAAAAGACATTATATTTTTCGAATATTCATCAGCTCATCGGGACCTATTGTTCCGTCTCAAAGTTTCCCAGATTGAAGTAAACTTGAAGCAAGGCCTAGATTCTACATCAATGCCAGACTAGTGATCAGCTGTTTTGGCATTCAAGCACAGCTCTTGTGTTCAACACAAATAGCCATTTTGAATCAACCATATATATCTCCACGTATTGTTTTGCAAAAAATGTGCAATAAACTGTTCTTGTATTTAGAACTTTACCTGAAGCTTGTAGCGATGGCGATGTCGCAACAGTTCGGAGATTATTAGAAGAAGGTAGAAGTGTGCATGAAACTACAGAAGATGGAGAAAGTCTATTATCTCTCGCTTGTTCTGCTGGATATTATGAATTGACGGAGGTATGTGGCTTTTGCTTACTTCAGCAGTTTTTAACCATTTAGCTCAAGATTATTTACTCACCAGAATGCCCAGAACGAGCGGAATAATCTATTTGACTCTAAATTAATTATATATTTATTTGATTTTATGATCAGAATAGAATAGTTTTATATTGGAAAATATTGGTTAGAACAATTAGAATCTTACAATTATATTACTTGGAATGGAATCTGTATTCTTTCAAGACTTTTATTTTAGAAAATAAACCTGAATCGATTCATTAAATGTTTTTACTTTTAACTTTCAAACCTTCTTTCATGAGATATTTTCCATTTTATCAGGTTTTGTTATCAATGCACGCAAATATAGAGGAACGAGGCCCAAAAGGGGGTTGCACGCCATTAATGGAAGCAGCGTCGGGTGGTTATAAGGATATTGTGGAATTATTAATTGCTCATGGAGCGGATCTTGATGCCACATCCAGTACAGGTATTTCATAAATTAGCACTTAGAAATTTTTTGCATTTAACTTCATTGTATCTGCAAATGGAGGCTTTTGAGCAGGGCTGGATAGAAATCATAGTGACTCTAGCTCTCAAAAGCTACCTGTTTTGGGGTCTACAGGCTGTTATTGTGGGATGCAACAATGATATCGTAAGTGGTTGTAACAAAATACAGGTCACTGACGCCCAACAAAATTTTGTTACTGCAAAATCTCAGCTTTGTAATTCTTGAACTGTCAAAAAAGGTCAGGTTTTAATAAAGATATCTGTCTTGCTTTGTTCCACTGTATCACATCTGTTCTACTGTATCCTCACCACTGGAATGAATTTTCACTCTTGCGCTGACATATTCACATTTTAACTTTTGGATGTTGTCTATATAATTTATATTATTACTGACTAATTATTTAAAAAATATTGCTTTTAGCAGGTGTTAGGATTATCTATTTTGTAGAGCATAGTATTCCAGAATTTTTTTAAAATTCATTTTAATTTTTGGACCTCAAAGTATGCGCACCAAGATGGCGCAAAACCTGAACCTAGTATGAGTGTACAGTTTAGGATTCAGGTTGTGCGACATCTTGGTGTGCATACTCCTGGAGCACCCAATTTTGCATATAAACTAAACGATTATTATGCAGCAAAAATATTAGTTATCCAATCACAATTTTGATTATCCATATTATTAAAAACTAAGGGTTCTCATCATATTTTGTTTTCAATGAGAACTAATACCTTTCAAATGATAATTCTGATCATCAAACTTTTGACTGATGCAGTCGTTTCACCTATTTTTTATAAGGAAAATTTCTTTTTTAAAGATTTGTTATTAGTTAACTTAATTTAAATGATCTTGTTATGCATCATGTTCTGAATTCGAAACTTATATTTGTCCTTATTTTCACCAGGAAATACAGCACTTACATTTGCTTGTTGCGGTGGATATGATGAGATCGTAGAAATTTTGATTTCTGCTGGTGCTGACCTTGAAGTACAAAATGAAAACGGACACACACCTCTAATGGAAGCTGCATCAGGAGGACATGTTAATGTAGCAGCAATTTTGTTACAACATGGAGCTGGCATTAACACTCATTCTAATGAATTTAAAGAGTCAGCGTTGACATTAGCATGTTATAAGGGTGAGATCAATTTAGATTTTTTTATAGATTTTGCTCCAAAATACATTGGGCCAACTAAAATTTTGGCAAAAATTTAGACAAATGAATTGGTGACTTTTCAGTCTTTGATAACTGTGACATTTGGATATAGAAAAATAATTTGGTATTGCACTTTTGCAAAAAAGTAAAAATAGATAAAATGTAGTAAAACTTATTATTGAATTTGAATAAAATGCTGTCAGGAATTCCAGGGTGAAAATTGGTCATATATCCCAGTAATGAATGCTTTCATCACTATTATGCTCCGATTGCATAAAAAACAAAAAAAACATCAAATTATTTTCATACTTATCCTTATTAATTAAGCAATAAATGTTTCTTTTTATTTCTAAATAGGACATCTTGAAATGGTTAAGTTTTTGCTTCAAGCAGGAGCAGATCAAGAACATAAGACTGATGAGATGCATACTGCACTAATGGAGGCATCAATGGTATGTGTTGTCGTTTTGAAATAACAATATCTGGAAATGGGGGTATCTATGGCGTGTAATACTGTTACATCATCAAATGTATATAAATAGTGATGAACGAAGAGGAAATTTCTGACAACTCAAAATAACATCTAAGGGACCTAGTGTTCTTAACAATTCATGAGGGAAAATTGGGATCCTAGGCCGTTCTTTCAAAGCTTAGAGTTTGGGAGTTGAGTGTAAACTTTCACCGAGGAAGTTTTTTGAATCTTCTATCAACTTCGGAATAGAAATATTGTAGTGATCACAATGTTTAGGTCCATACTTGCACTCATTTTTCCACACTTTCATCAACATTGCTGATTTTCCCATTCATATTGATTATTTGGAAAACAGACTTAAAGTCTGAAACTCTCACATCGGATAATTCAAATTTTGGTCTCCCGGAATACAACTCTGGACTCTGACTAAAACATCTGCTCCGACTACATTTATGGACAGCTAATTTAAAATTTAATTTTGTCACGATTGCCTGTGTGATCTCAATCTGGGTGAATGCATTAGGTACATTAGAAATCAAATCGATGATATTCATCAACCACATACCATACCACTTTGAATAAATGTTATTGTAATTCATGTACAATTAACCATTTCTTTTTTATACATTCCTAATAGGATGGTCATGTCGATGTAGCAAAATTACTTCTCGATTCTGGTGCTCAAGTGAATATGCCAGCTGACAGTTTTGAATCTCCACTAACATTAGCAGCATGTGGAGGGCACGTTGAGCTTGCTTCGTTGCTTTTGTTACGAGGTGCTAATTTAGAAGAAGTTAACGATGAAGGATATACTCCGTTAATGGAAGCGTCGAGAGAAGGACACGAGAAGATGGTTATCGTACTCTTAGCTCATGGTATGTTTTTTTATGATGATTGATCATGCATGATACTGAGAATAGGTTAATCAATTGCCTTCTATGTTAATTTGAGAGTTTCAAGACTTAGAGGACGAATGTTGAAATTTAAAAAAATGGGTGCTTTATAATAAGGGTTGGGTGAGATGATGGGGACCTTTAACTCGAGACTTTAACCTTGCTGTGGTTAGGTCATTTTTTTTTATTGACGAGGTTCAATCTAATGTACAATATTGTAATTCCAATACTTTTATTTTGTAATAGTATTCCTTTTTGCGACCTAATAACTGACTCAAATACATTCAGGTGCAAATGTCAACGTTCTAACTGAGGAAACACAAGAAACAGCGTTGACACTAGCAGCTTGTGGTGGATTTCTGGAATGTTGTAAACTGCTGATTTGTGCTGGAGCTAATCTAGAGGATGGATGTTCAACTCCACTCATGGAAGCTGCACAAGAAGGACATTTAGAACTCGTCAAATATTTGTTGGAGCAAGGTAAAGTTATTTTATCTCGTTTTCCACTTTTTTATTCAATGGATAAGAAAAATTTCTAAATGTATTTTTAAATGAATAAGTTAAGTATTTTGTTCCTTTTTGATATTGTCTATTTTATCATAAATATTCATTTAGTCAAAATGTCATATCAAGGTTCATGGTTATGAATTTGAGTGTTGAACATTTTGATTTGGGGAACAATATAAAGACAGCCATAGAATTCATGAAATAAACATAATGAGATGAATATTGACACGTATATCTTATTGTTATGTTGTAATAACGCATACAGCTTGTAATTTTACTAATTCAAATTTGTAAAAAATAATTTTGGCTCATTTTCCTTATTAGATTTGATTTTATTGGAATATCTTGTTCAAAAATTGCTTACTCTGCGACCACTAAAGCAGTCAATTCTTAATTTTCAGCAGAGTATGGGAGAAGTCATATTATTTACAGAGGTCCAAGGGGGCAGATATTTCCTATAAATTTTGCTTTTTTTTTATCCATGGGAACACTGTTTTGACATTTAACCTCCATGTTTATGTACAAGGGCATTGATATCTTATTTTCATTTTCTATCGATGAAGTTTAACTCACTCTATAAAAAAGAGTTGGTGTACCAATACCAATTAATGATCACATTCACCCTTCTTATCAGGTGCAAATGTAGATTCTCAAACCAGCAGTGGCAATACTGCATTGTCATATGCATGTGAACATGGTAGAACAAACGTCGCTGATGTTTTGTTGCATGCTGGAGCTTGTCTCGAACATGAATCCGAAGGAGGAAGAACTCCCCTCATGAAAGCAGCAAGAGCTGGTCATTTGTGTACAGTACAATATCTTATCTCCCGAGGTTAGTTGGTTATTGTGTCTCTTATAAAAACTGTTCAAAGATATGATAATACTATTTGATTCGAGAGTCTTCCTGCCCACTAACACAAATGTATTTCTGCAGAAATACATTTGTGTTAGTGTGTAGCAAGACTCCCGAATCAAATAGAATAGTCATTTACATTCTTGCTACAGCATCCTTGCTTAATATGCATACGAATCCACTTGCACAAAGGCATAGAGCAAGGAAAGATGATTAGCCTCACATAATCCCAACTGATAGTTATAGGCCCAATGAATAAGTACTCAATTTGAAGATTCGTTTATTTTTTGAGGCGTTCCCACTTCTTTTCGCTTTGTGCAAACACCCACTAATATGTAAGGGACTACTATTTCCGGGACCTCTAACTACTACCCTCAAGCAAAAAAAGTTGTGTGGTAATACTAAGAAACAGAAATCTTGAAGATATTTCCAAATTGCACTTTTTTTTCTTTTTGTATTTGTATCAATACATATTTTATGATTGTTAATAATAATTTCAATCGTTCAATTTTTACTAATTTTTTTTGCAATGTGCTTCAAAATTTAAAAAAAAATTAAAAGTTATTAGTAGTTCATATTATCTATATCAGGGGTGTCAAACTTGCGGCCCCCGAGCACCTCCAATGCGGCTCTCTAACGCAATAACCACCTCGAACAATAATAGTAATATTTCGTAAGTTTTTTTTATCTAAATGTAATACATGTTTCAAACCTTTCAAAGTGAAATTGATTATTCACACAGAAAACAATAATTTACTGAAAGTAGTTTTGGAAAATTATTTTTTTTGTTTTCATGTTGACCCATTTAAAAATACACCTCAAGCTAGCAAAAATACTTGAAAAAAAAAACCTCAGGGATTAAATGAAACGCAAAGTACATGAAGAAGGTGGCATCTTTGAAGAAAAATAGGAATTGCAATATTTCTACATTTCTCAAAATTCTAGCACATTGTTTAGTTTGTCACATTTCCATCAATACAATGAAAGAATACAATGACAAATTTAAAACTCAACTTCGAACATAAAATTTTTATGTATTTGTTTATTATTATAATTATACAACTACCTAGTTACTGAATACTAAAAATCAATATCAATCATAACTCAAGCGGCCCTATGCCACGTAATAGTAGGAAATCTCGCGAAATGTGGCGGGAAATGTCCGAAAGGTCCGAAAAGTCAGTCATTTGTGTGTTTACTGATCTATACATGAAATGATAAGCGTAATATTTTTGCTTTACTGAAATTAATCAAACATTCTCAATGATCCAAATTAACCGACGATCATGTGACCTCGTTAATTAGAGTTATTACTGTAAACTCATTTTAGCCTGATACTAGTAAGCTGGTGGCACAAGAGATACCGTCAGGACATATGTAATGAAAAAAACATTGAGTTCATTCTGTAGTATTTTTGTAAATTTTCGGCCTATTCAGATTAAGTCATTTTTAGTGTATGTTTTAATCATTCCCTATCAAAACTTTGTTCAAAAATGTTTTGGATAGTTGATAAAAATCTATGATTTCTTGGAATAAATACAGCAATAAGAAATGAAATGCAAAAATTAATATGTAAAGGACATTTGAAATTTGAGAAAATAACAAAACTTTATTGGGTTGTTTAATTACATCATGTGTGTCAATATGTGTCACAAACTACACCTATCTGAAAATTATGTATACGTTATCGAAATATATCAAAAACTGTTTGCGGCCCTTTGCACAATCCCAAAATGCAATGCGGCCCTCGGAAACCCACGACTTCGACACCCCTGATCTATATACCGTATTTGCTCGTTTTGTAGCCCGGGCCCATATTTTTTTTAACCAACTCACTAACCGGGCCCTTATTCAAACCGGCCCTTATTCAAGCACAGGCGCTTGTTATTTTCGATCGTTACAATAATTAATATATTGTGATTTCCAGTTCTTAAGTATGATTTAAACGAGAATAACGCAAATTTTGACTTTTTCTACGCACCGCAGGTACAAATCCGCAAAAGAAGAAAAGTTTTGTGGCGCCCTATCAATATTGAAACGGCGCACTTCGGCTTCGCGACGCCCAGTTTGAGAACCACGGTGTTACATAATCAATGCTATCTGTTATGTACTCGGACGCCTAAGGCGTGAGTGTTATCTACCTGCGCTTAATAAAATTCAACAGCGTTGGGACAAAAGCGCTTCCCATTTTCTATTGTTCTCTACCACTGAAAAATCAGCTTTTACATCGGGCGGGTATTCAAGCAGACCATTAATCAAGATCGGGCGGTAAAACGAGCATATACGGTTGTTATAAACAGATAACTATGTACCATATTGTCATTGTAAAAATAACTGGGTTAATGCATCACACCAATCATTAGTTAGTTTTGATCTATTTATATGATTGTTGCATAATGAGTTTTGTGCAGCTAAATTTGCATTATAAACATATTTTATTCTTGTCATATGACAATATCTTGGTATTACGAAATCCTTCATCTTAGCATTTTATTTATTGTTCATGTGACACAAAGTTAATAATATGAATACATAAATAAAATTATTGTCCACTTATACTCTAATTAAATTATGCATGTTGTGTAACAAGATTTCGGATTTTTAGGCGGTCTAAGTAATTGTTTTATTAAAGGTGTAATTAGGTGATTATTGGAATTTTCTATACTACTCCTTATAATGTGAATGCAATATTAATTAATCCTGTAATAATATAAAACATTGAATAGTAAAAAAATTTCATACAGGAATGTATAAGATGGATCTGATATTCATAATTTACATTCAAAATTATATAAATTCGATATGGTTTTTTAATTTCAGATTTGGGGATTACTTTGAAAATTTTTCAAATTGAGTATTTAACATTTCACTGCCAAAGCAAAATTCTTAATAAATTGTGTATAAAGGAGAAGAACATAATTAAAATGATGTTTTTTATCTCAACATTCTGTTATGTTTATTACTCTGTTGAGCATGACCAATTTTCAGATTTTAGAATATACACGAATTCCTATATTGGAAATATCATTTCAGAATGTAATAGTAATTTATTCGATTATGTACTATTTGGCCATCATTGCTTCGTTTAATAATGTATATAGATAGATAAGATAGATAGTTTTTTTAGATTTGCCGTTTTTAATCTGTTAATATTTTTCAAATTTTAATTTGAATTATGTTCCTATCATTCAGGTGCAAATGTAAACAAGAGAACACGAAACAATGACCACACAGTTTTATCATTAGCATGTGTATATGGCCATTTATCTGTTGTTGAGCTGTTGTTATGTCAAGGAGCTGATCCAACACATAAGGTATGAAAATTTTTCTTTTTACAACTTTCTTTTTTAGCAATTAGATCTGAGTCGTTTTAATGAAACAAAATATAATTTTTGAATTTTGAATACAGATTCAGGATCTTGTTCTCAGTTGCCTGAATTGTCAATTTTTTTGTGAAGCATTTTCACTCTGAACAAGGCTATGTTTAAATTGCCATTGATTACAAAAGGAGATAAATACTTTTTCAGATTTTTATAGAAGTAATCCTCACCCAAATAAAACTGATAATATATGGAATCTTTGTCGGAAGATGTGGAAAATAACAAATAGTATAGTATTATTTCACAATAGTTATATAATTTGGCCTTGTTGTTTTTATCCAATTATTGGGTGTTGGAGATAAAAAAAAATTGGTATAAAAAAATTGTATACCTAGATTAACAAACAATTTTATATAATTTCAAATTATTCATAACGAACTACCTCATAGCTGTTTTAGGACTCTATTGACTTGAATAGCTTCAATTACTCACTGATCAGAATTCTCGGCCATTTAAAGTTTAGGTGCTCAGAGATTACTTTTCTTTAAGCAAATCTAAAACTTGCCATATTCTGTCCCAATGTGAAGATAAGACTGAATAACGACAGTTTCTTTTTGAAAACATATTATATGTTACTGCATAGAATTAAAATGAAAACAATTCAGTAAGTAATATTTATGTTTAGCTTAAAGATGGATCTACCATGCTACTGGAAGCTGCTAAGGGTGGTCATACAAGCGTCGTTCAACTTTTGTTGGATTTTCCTGAAATTTATATGAAAACAACATCAAGACACCAAGCTAGCATTCAGGTATGTTTTTGTTAGCTGTTAATAATTATCAAATTTTTTTCTCAGAATTTAGGTATTTTAAATGGATGTTAAAATTGGCCCTTTCAATGATAATGTGGTAATTTAGATATTTGTTTAGTATTTTTATGAGGTTGGCCTTGTTGCTTTTTCGATTAGATACAAAGTCTTTTTATGACAAATGTAAAACTCATTTGGCTGATGTATGATATTTGTACTTAAAGACAGGAATTTATTGTAGTATAAACATATTGTTAACCACAGCCAGATAAGAAATTCCCCTTGAAGTGATATTTCACATAGCACCCAAAATTATATCAACAATTACTAGCGCAAAGGTATTTACATTATACGAAGTTAAAATTGATTTTTGCATAATTGACTTTTTTCTATGCAATATATTACTGCCGATATAAAAAACAAAAATCCTTTTTGAACACTTACATTACTAACTCCTATTAAATTTACAGGCAAATAATTCACCATCACCTGAACAACCAGTACCTCGAGTTCCTACTCAAACATTACCAATCATAGTTCCTCCTCAAGAACCAGATACTGCTCCTATTGAGAATGATTTTACATTGAAACTCTCAACACCAGGCAAAACAAGCAAGGTTGCTGAACCTGAGCCTAACGTAATAGAAGGTAAATTTTGGAATACATTTGTTAAGAGATGGGTGTGTGTCAACAGGATTTAGAATAAGTCTACATGGTAGTGATCCCGATCATGATTGTTTAAGGAGCAAGGTGAATGAGCATGCTATTCGTGTGAACTCTTGTAATATATATCTTGCTTAAAGACAAACCAGTCTTGACTCTTGACACATTTTCATCATATAACATCACCACGTCAGTACCAGTAGTAGAACACACAACAGTCAAGCATGTACCTCGAATGAAATACAACCTAAACATTACCATTCAGTAAATTAACAACTGCCCTGCACCCTGGCGAGCACCTTTTATTGTACATTACAAGCTTCTTTACAAGTACATTACAATTATGGATTACTCCACTACTGAGTCTATAAAACCTGAAAGACTCTTTCAAAAATTAACTAATACCATGGTGCGGCAAGCGCATGAGCGTTTCCTTTTTGCCATACGATCAGCATATATCTTATCTGATTGACTTTCCTCTCCAATGATAGTTTGAAAATCTGATATTACCTATTCAAGAATTTTTAAACCGAAACGGATTTTTAGCCTTTATTTACATTCCCAAACAAACTATTGCTGAGTAGTAAAACAACTGATGAAGCTGTACTTGGTAACCAAACACACAATGAAGGGTCCGCCAGGACAAGGATATGCACGGAATATTTCCAGTTTATTTCATGTTTGACTTGATCATAAATTTTGTTTAACAGCAACCGTCGAACTACGTGACATGAAAAAAATATGTCGTCACTATCAACAATCTATTCAAAATGAAAAAAATTTAGCCGAACCGTTACAAAGTCGGGTTTCAAACTCGCAACCTTCTGAGTTAGAACAAGATGCCGCTTCTTTGCTAAAGTCTACTGCTGTTACATCAGGTGACTTTCTATTTGTATAGCAGTATTGTAGAATTCAAAGAAATGCTGTTAAATCATTTGGAGAGTTTCAAATTGTTCAATTTTAAAACATCAGACAAAACATGATCATTAACTCGCTGCAGTAGAATTTAATTTGCTTATGTCACACTCACATTTTGAGATTTTGAGAAATGTGGATTTTTGTAATTTTCAGTCAAATTCTAAAAGTGGACATAAGGCACTAATCAAAATTAAAACAAGTACAGCTTTCAAACCCAGACCATGAGATGGCTCCCAGTCCATGATGACTGTAGATCAAAAAAGGGGTTAAATGATTTCATTATCACTGTTAACTATCTTAAATCAGTTGTCTTCTACCAGCCATAATTATGTTGAATTATGATAAAATTAGAAGGAATGTATGGACTAAAATTGCTAGAATGTCACATTTTATTTTTGCTTTTCATTTTGAATTGCAAATATAATAATAAACCCATAATCAGCGAATATATTTGGTCATTAAATTATATAATTCTAATTTTTCTCACATAATAAAAAATAATTTTCTTAAATATGTAAATTACGTGCAAGCCTAATAGATGCTTGTCCACTGCTGTGTTTAGCTCCCACGCACACACCACAACATGTCCTAATTGTTCTTATATTTGTATAAGTTAATTACATATATTGTACCATTGTTAATAATTCATACTTCCAACAGAAACAGCAGATTTGTCATCAGACACAAAATTAACTCAACTTGAACAAAGAATAAAACAAGCAATTGAAATTAATGCAAAAATGAAGTGTTTAGAAGCATCACAGGTATGTATATATATTATATATATGTTCAAATATGTTTATCACTTCTTGGTGGTTAGTGCATCGTGCTAAGCATTAGAAATACAATTGCCATCACACCTTTGCTTATCCTGTATGGTTTCCGCTGGTTTGAATCTCAGTGGGGATAATTCTGTGCATGAGGACTGCAAAACTCCTAGCCGTCGTAGGGTGATTCATGTGACTGCTGGTTGGATATAACTTCCTCCACCACCAAGTCTATGCATCTGAAACAAATAACTGGTTACCTAATCCCATTTCATAGACTGAGGTCATAATAGGCCAAACAATAAAGGTGTCTTGTCGGTTTTTCTTTTTCCGGGATGAATATGAAAAAAACCTTTCATGAAATATTGGAATGTATCTAAATTGTCATCATTTTCCCTTGTGTGCTAATATAGGAGATCTAGAGGTCAGTAAGTACAGCTTGACATTAGTCTACTAGTAATGAAAATTAAATACCATTCTTGAAGTTATGGCTCAAATATGAGTTCGTTTTGAAGACTTGCAATGGTGAATAAAATATTATAAAAGTACTTCAGAGGCGTTTGCCAATATTTATATGTAGCGTTTATAGAGGATTTTTACTTTACTATTAACTGAACATCCATTTCAAACTCAAATCTTTTTTTTTCAAGAATTCTCTTGGATCGAAGATTCAAGCAATGTGCGCTGATGAAGATTTACAACTTCTAAAAAAACAGAGAATCCTGGAAGAACTTCAGAAGGTTCATTTTTTCCCATTTTTTTTCTGTGTTTATTAAGTTTTTTATTTTCAATGTTTCCTTTTTTGAAGTCAACTAATCTCGTGCATTTCCCTTACAGGTCGAGTTGAATTTACAAGAGAAAGCGACACGTCAGTTCAAAGTGAATTCAAATTTTCATTCGGTACCGGACACTGCACACCAATGTGACATTTCAAGAGGTATTTTACTTTAATCCTATGTTATTTCATATTTGATGTGTGTGTAAAGAGTTACTTGAATTACTTGCTACCTTTGAAAGACATAATTTAATTTCATACTTTATGAGATAAATAAAAACGATTCATTACTCATCATTTTTCACAATTTTATTTTTTAGAACCTCATACCACTTGGAAGTCATTTTTTCCCAATTGTATAAAATTGCATTACAATGTAACAACATTATTACTCATCGTATTGCTTCAACATTTTTGAATCACTCAAATTTTTGCATTGCTCAATCTTAGTTCATGTTTATGGTCGTATATCATACACGTCTTTCTCTTTAATCACTTAGGTAATCCAGATGGTGGCGATGGTATCAGCGGTTACAATTTTCAAAAAGAAGAAGAACAATGTTCGACAAGTGATGGTAATTTTGGACCTAATAATTGGCAAAGAAGTTTTTTTCTATAAAATATGTTAAAGCGCGGTCACTGGTGTAACTCACTCAAAAAAAAACAAGACTGATATCTGAGCTATTGTACGAGTTGCCAGTAAGAAAAAGCTGGAAGCTATATGTTGTCCGGCTTTCATAAAATATTTTATATTGATGTTTGTGTCCTAAACCTGATTTACTAAAGGGTCGCAGACCTGAGTTTTAAACCTACTGGCTTTGTGTGTTTATCTGTTCTCACGTTCTGAATAATTCCTTTACTGAGTGGTGCTCACCTTGCACAGTATCAATTATTTTTCTCACTTTTTGTGTCTTTGAGTGGATTCGAACCCACAGGTATTCCATCTTTCTTCTGTAACACTGCTTGATTGCTAGTAATGTAACAGCCATGACTGTTTGTAGTTGAACAGAACCCTAGAGAGAACATAAGTTTTGAAACTTTTGGATATATTTGAATACAAGCACAGTTCAAGTATTAAATATATTGCTTTGTTTTCATAGAGATAATTAAGAAATTTGTGGGTTATGTTTTTTTTGGGGGTCATGTTTTTTTGGGTCACCCTATTGCTACTAGTCGGTATATTTATATCATGACAATGTGAGATTCGACAACTTTGTAACATGTCCTTTGTCATTTGTAATTTTGTCTGCTAGTTAGACATTGTACATACATAGTCTGGTATAACCTTTTGCTATACAACAGTTTCCAACTAGATTTCTTCAAATGTAACTAGTGTTTCAGTTTTTAATTTCATTCTTTAGAAGATGAAAATTTACAACTTGACGATTCTGCTTCTCCATCTCCAGCATTACAAGACATGGTAAGTCTAGTAAAATGCATTTAATAATGCCCAAAAATTGTTATAATTTAGATACCCAGAATTAGAAATTTTTTTCTTTCAGGAATCAATGGAATCAAAGCATTACTCCACACCTCAAGACACCACTGATGAATTTGCAGCGAGTGAGATTGGTATTTTTTTTGTATAATTCTTAAGATTTTTTTCAGGCTTGCCATTCAGGATTATGTTTTTACTGGTATTTTTTACCTCGTTTTTTATAATACATTTCGTCGCTTTCACTGCGAACAAGCTGCCACTGATGCACAGAGAGCCAAAATTTTGGGAAAGCCAGCATGTTTATGATTCAACATTGTCTACCGGACTGTATTGTAGTGATGTGTTGAATTTGTGTTTTGACCCCAAGATATTGAACCTGTTGTACCAGTATAGTTATCTCCCTGACTTTAGGACTACTGGTTGCAGCCAGGTGATTCGACATGTCCTAATTTAATACTTCATTCTGAATTGAATATTTCTATTGGAATGAATATCTAGAACCACACCAGATTTTTCTTGTCAATAAATTTTCACTTTAAACAAATTTTTGTTTCCAAAGGGTCGTTTCTGAAATTATATTCTATGATTTTCAGCTGATGAAGAAACTGTTGTTACGCCGACGCCTTTTGTTCCTGAGAATTCGCTGCTAAAACCTGACGACAGAGCTATTCGTATTGAAATGGACATCGATTGTTACACAGAATCTAACAACGATACTCCACTCACTCTGGCTTGTGCTGGTGGTCACCGCGAATTGGTTCAGTTATTAATTAGCAGAGGAGCTAACCTCGAACATAGAGATAAGAAAGGTGCTCTTTGTGACTTAACATATATTGTGCAATAATAGATTATTTTATATATGAGTATCTTTTCTACTTGTTTTGTTGTCATTTGCAAGAAAAGTTCATGAAGTATTAATTAAATCATGGCTATGCGGGGGAAATTTACATCTGACTCGACCTTAGAGCTGTTCAGAAAGCAATTTCTGGTTACGTTCGGTTTTCACTTCGGTTGTAGGAAATTTAAACTCCAGCTCCATGTTTTGAAAAAATAAAATTTTGAAAACAAAAAATTTGGTGTATGCCGTCTGACTTTCATTGTTTTTGAGAATGCTTATCCAACTTAATGCTTTTTGATGTTTTGACTTCAATTTTCATTATTGAAAGTCTGACGCCCAACTGAGAAAAATTCAAAATTTCGACTCTAGTCTCGAGTAGTTTGAAAATACCACACAGGTGCGGAACTTCAACTAAATGATACGAGATGATATTTTTGAAAAAAAAATTTTACTCTTATGGCAGATTTTGAAGAAACTGCCAAAGTTTTTTAAAATGGGTAATTTTAAACTGAGCTCCATGTATTGAACAATATTTATCCAAATGTGTGAAATTGTAACTTTCAATCAATTACTATTCTCCTATTTTGTTTAGGTTTTTCTCCTCTCATTCTTGCTGCAACTGCTGGTCATGTTGGTGTCGTATCCACGTTACTCGACGCAAATGCTGATATTGAATCTCAATGCATTCGAACAAAGGATACTCCATTATCACTTGCATGTTCTGGGGGAAGATTGGTACGTTACATGGTTGTATGTTGATTCACATAATAAGAAAACATTGGCTGATGACGTTAATCAGTTCATGTGCACATGCAAACGCACAATAATTGATAAGCAATTGTGAAGTAGCCTGCCGGGTGGGTGAACAACACCCAAGATTAGGCTTGCACGTAATTTACGGAATTACTTCGAGTTACGAAAGCGAAGTTACGAATTACGTAAAGTCGTAATTATTGGTTGAGCACTTTCGCGATTGAAACGAGCCCTCTTCAGAGCAGTCAGTTCCGTCGATTGTAAAAAATTAAAGTTTAAGTAAAAGAAGTTAGAGTTCCGGTATTCGCATTTTCTCTCTCTTGTTAGGCAGATGGGGAAGGCATAACGCGTCATTTACTAACCTATTATCAACTTATCTAGGATGGCCAATGTAAAGCGATTGAGACGGCAGAGAAACAACAATACGACGGGATTTCCCACGTTTATTCTGTGCGAGATCCATTTTCTATTACAAAATCTTGATGTTCTGTTACCGATTTTATCGTTATATATCTGTCCGGACTTGGCATTGCTCAATATGTTTTTCATAATGCCTCGCAATATGTTGGCCAAATATGATTACCTGTCTTTACCAAATGCGGCAACTTATTTTGATTTATCGTCGACTCGAATACCACCGGCACTCGACCAAACTTGTGTCAATCTTGGCAAATAGGATTGTCGACTTGAGTTAGAAAAATAAATTAATATTTTCATGAGTGCAAAATAAATGTCACAAAATGCATTGTTTTGCGATATAACTTTGTATTTTCGGAGAAGGCATGTCATATAAGTACGGTATTTTGAATAATGCGCAAATAATTAATATTTGATCTAAATTTATTGCAAATAATGTTATAACTTTTAGGCCACGAAATGATTTAATGTAAAATGAAGCATAGAATTCGGAATATCGTCAATAAGTCGGCATCAATAATTATTATAAAATGCTAACTAAGTAGTAAAGTCGGACATTGTAAAAAACGGTGAAATAACAAGTCTTCGTCGCGAGGCAAGCGAAAGTATAATCAAACGAGAGAATACGCTTGTAGTTGATTAATAAATTAGCAACCCGGAATATTTATTTAATACGAAAGTCGTATTAATACGTTAATACGATTTTAAAAAAGTGAACTATCGTTTCTTAAATATATTACCAGTGTTGGTAATGATAAAATTGATTGCATAAATTTTGGTGATAAAGTGGATAAAAAAAATCAAAGCTAATACAAAAGATAAAAATCAGAATAAAATTATTTTGAATTCACTCCTTGATATTTGTCTTTAACATCTGTCGCCGGCGTGTAGTACTGCCGGGAATATAAAAACCAAACTTCGATGTCCCATTCGGAATAGAAGTGGATTAAATTGGTTGTTATGATAGGTTTAAATGTGTGAAAAAAATATCGCAATTACGGGGTCATTACGTAATCGATTTGGCCGTAATTACAGAATTGATTTTTGTCAATTACGTGCAAGCCTACCCAAGATTAGGTGTAAATAAATTGAGCGAAGATTTTTCGCAGGGATAACCAAAACCGAAAAATCTACTATTCTGAAAACATTCCACAATATTACTTTCAAATACAAGATATCCGTGTTCAACAAAAAATACAGGGACTCAATATATATATTTCAGGATTTATTTAGAATAATCATGTCATTTTGAACATCCTTGGCGCTTGCGCACTGGTCAAAATATAGTACTATGCTGATTAGTATATTATTAAGTGAGTGTCCGTAAGAAATATTCCGTATTAGTTTTTTTTATATATAGGCTATTGAAATTGTGTAAATTTAACCTCTTTGAAGCTTTAAGATCAAGCTGTAATGGGTTGATTCATTCAAAATATATTCAAAATTATATTCCTAATTGTGAACCATTTGGTTCGTTATTGGTCATCACTGCAGAATTATTATCAACCTATCTCAGGAGAGCATATTATAAGTTTAAATCTCAGATTTTTCTCATTTCATGTTCAATTTTAACATTCCAGGAAGTCGTAGAATTGCTTCTTGAACGTGGTGCCAACATCGAACACAGAAACGTATCAGACTATACCCCATTGTCTCTAGCGGCATCTGGTGGTTATGTCAGAATAATCGAATTACTGTTGAACGCTGGAGCAGAAATCAATTCACGGTTAGTACGACTCTTAGCTTTAAATACTTTGTCGTTAACTTTAATCATATTGAGCAACATTTCCCAACCGGGAAGGTATTCCATTGTGTTGTGTTTCATTTTGTTCATTGGGAGAAAACTTCTTTTTTTTTAGAGTAATATAAAAATATTCTTCACTTATACTTTTTGTAATGCATATTGATGGACAGTTAACAAAATGAATTGTCCATTAGAATTAAACAACAAATGGAAACAGAGTTTCTAAACATAGTGGGGGGAGGAATGGGAGTTTCAAAATAGGTGAGGGGAGGAATGTATGAAAAAGTTGGAAACCACTGATGTAGCGTGTATATAATTCTTTCAGAATTGGTATAGTTGAAAATTGAATTTGACGTAAATTCAATAAAAAGTATTTTGAAATGCTTATAATATAGATGTATTTAAAATGACGACGATTAAAAATAACCCTACACTAATGGAAGATGTTTTATATTTAATTTAAAACAAATAATGGGATATATTGTTCTGAAAACCAGGGCCTTCGAGTCGGAGTTCGGTATGTTATTGTCGATATTGGAGCCAAGGTTGGGTTTTTAATCTCGTCAGAGAGTCTAAATTTTGAGTTTTCTATGTCAGAATTTTAAACTGTCATCGGTGATGATCGGAGTCAATATATCACTCTGACCAGGCAATTTCAACAATTTGATTAATAGATGATTTGCATACACCAGTCTGATACTGGAGTTTGGGGTCAGGTGTGCTCAGCAATGCTCACAAATAATAACCTTTCTTCCAAATAAAATAATGTTTGTTGAATAACGAAAGATTCTATACAGACCAATTCTATACCTATATTTTCAGTCTTAATATATGTTGTATAACAATTTTTTACAGAACTGGAAGTAAATTAGGAATATCACCTCTAATGTTGGCTGCGATGAACGGACATACTGATGCTGTATTATTGCTGCTGGATATGGGAGCAGACATCAATGCTCAGGTCTGAATTTTAGTATCTGTAATGTATGAGTCATCATAATTTTATTCGATTTACAATAACACAACTTGAATCAATAAATTTCTGACTTTTCTCATACTGGATCTCTTTATTCCTTACTCACTATGAATAAAAACTATAGTTTTTGTTTATGTTCAATCTTTAATGAATCATTAGCTAGTGTAATGCGCAAGTCATACCCCAACTTTTGCACAGTTTGAAAAGTATATAATATTTGCTTATGTAAATCCGTATCGCAATAATACAACATAAATTAACAATATGAGTAAAACTAAACCAAATACAATAGTGCTTACTCAAAAGAACAAAATACCTCTCTGTGGACGAATTTTCTTCTGCATAAGAAACGCTGCCTCAAGCGAAAAATAGTTCTGATTGCGACTTGGTAAAAACCTGTTACTGACCTGTTGTTCAGTATTTCGTTATTTTACATGTAACCTACGATGTTGAAACCATGCATATTGAAAATGTATACAGAAATAAGATTTGAAAATTTTAACTCGAACAAACGGGTTTTCAGATAAGTGTGAAAATTTGCTATACTGGAATCGGAGCTTATTTTGCAGTCAACCCAAAGTCATTTTACATGGAAATAATACTTTTTTGTTCTGTAACATTATATTTTTTTTATGATATTTTCTAGATTGAGACCAATCGCAACACTGCCTTGACCTTGGCTTGCTTTCAAGGTCGCCACGAAGTTGTCAGTCTGTTGGTTGACAGACGAGCTAATGTTGAACATCGAGCCAAAACTGGACTCACTCCATTGATGGAAGCCGCTTCAGGAGGTTATGCTGAAGTAAGTTGTGGATATTTTATGTCTTACAACCTCTTATTGCCATTACAGTGTCGTAGGTTTTGATGGGCTATTTGCTTTGGTCTTGCAATTCATTGTCTTTCTTTATAAATATTATTCGATATGCATCTCTATTTTTCCCCATGTTAGCTATTCCCCTTCTGTGTTTGAACTGGTAACTAAAATAGGAATCGTGTGAATTCGGGGGATCATTATGTGAAGATAGAAACAAGAAAGCCAGCTTATAACCAGGGCTGCGGAAACAGATTTTGGCCTGTTTTATTAATATTGGATACAGAGACGAGTATCTTGGAATTCATTAATAATAATCTAAGGCAAATTGAATTGTATTATTTAGTTGACTGAACATTCCTAACAGAGTTAAAGGAAGCTTGCATTGGACAAATTTTTTGTTATCAAAAATTTTTTTCCCTAGCTGAGGCTGCTTTTGAGATAGCCTGAAGTTGGGCATCTGGAGTAAATATTCGCCACCTTCACACCCCTACTGGTATCCTTGACTAAGTTTTCTATTTATCTTGATTAGGTTGGTCGAGTTCTACTTCAGAAAGGTGCCGATGTAAATGCTGCACCAGTGCCTTCATCTAGAGATACTGCTTTGACTATTGCTGCTGATAAAGGACATGTCAGATTTTGTGAACTGGTTCTGTCAAGGTAAGATAGACTTTTACCTTATCAAGCAAATTTTTCAGCTAATTCTATCCATTTATCATTACTTTTGAGATCCATAACGAATTTGTAGATTTAATTTTAGGCAAAGGAAATTTTTCAATTGGGGATTGGCTTTTCAGAATGATTAACTATTTTAGAATACTTATTTCGAATGCAAAATACCAAATTCCGATGAGGAATCAATAGTGCGTCTTCTCAGTTAAAATGAAAGGTGATAAAAAATTTCTGGTATGCCTCGTATGTGCTTCACAAAGCATTTCTTGCACAGTTTCAAATAGGCTGAAACGAAACCAAGCTGTCGATTCCTTTCGTATTTGAATCTTGAATGTAATTTCTGCTGTTTAGATGGGCATTTGTTGATGTTCGTAACAAGAAAGGCAATACACCTTTTTGGCTTGCATGTAACGGAGGTCATCTTGATGTTGCTAAGTTGCTCGGCAGAAATGGAGCTGATTTGAACACAGCAGATAACAGAAATATAACTCCACTCATGGCTGCATTCAGAAAAGGACACATCAAGGTAGGTTATATTGATGTCTATTTGGAGGGTCCCTGTTTCATTTTTCCTTATTTTCTCATTTATATTCACAAAATAATTGAATTTTATTCCTTTGGTCCTAGAATCTTTACATTTTCAGGTGTATTCACTCTGAAAAAAGCTTTGTACAATGACCAGTGCTCCCGAAGTATGTGTACCAGGTTAGAGGTATCAGGTTATGCGCCATCTTGGTACACATACTTTGTCTATTTTAGATCTTTTTATTCCTCCTTCACTATGCATAAAATTGTTATTTGTATAATCTTTAAAAAAAATTAGCTTATTTTAAACGCAACTCGAACTCTGGCTTATTGTACAGTTTAAATGTGTAACAATGTAAACATAAAAATGTATCACAATATTTCTATACCGGGGACAAAGAAATATTTCTGTATTCCCTCCCTGAAAACAACAAAAAAATCCTTTCCTGTTGGTAAATGCTTCATTTGAATCTATATCATTTGTGTATATATGATATCCCATTACTAGGGCTGGGAATGGTTAACCGGTTAATCGATTTTAAATGGTTAAAGCTATAGGTTACGATTTATTTTAACCGTTAACTGACATCTCAGGTACAAATAACGTCATCGCAAATTTATCTCCTGTGGCGTTTATTTCAAAAGAATATCACTAAATGTGTGGGTACTCAATAAATGTGAAAAATAATTGAACTACCGAGATTGCTGATTATGAAAATTCACAATGATAAATTCAGAATCAGTTTATTGTTTACGATTTTATTGCAAAATCGTATATTTAATCTCATCCAACAAGTGCGCAGATGATGCCGTTTTTCTTGATGATATCTCGAAGTAGAATTTGTACATCAAACACTGAAAATTTGTCACATAAATGAAGTTTGATAACAGAATCGGGTTTTCTCAAATACTCCCACATGTCCGAACCACGCTGCATATCTCTTGCAGCAGAGTAATCATGTACTATCTCGATTCGTGAATAATTTTGATCGATACCGGGATAAGATCACGCGAAATTGCTTTATAACCATTGTGACGTGACAAGCTGAAATTATAAATTGTGACGTCAAACGTCACGCTTCGTTTAACCGGTTAATTTTACCCGGTTAACGGCTAAAGTGTTTTCCCTGAAATTCCCAGCCCTACCCACTACGTATATATTATTTAATAAGTTGTTTATTCTTGTATTTAGGTTGTACGATGGGTTTCCAAGCTTGTGTCTCAATTTCCATCTGATACAGAGTGCATGCGATACATTGCGACTGTTTCTGATGCAGAATTAGAGAAACGATGTCATACTTGCATGGATTGCATTGTTTCTGCAAAAGAAAGACAAGCTCAAGAGGCAAATAAATATGCTTCAGAATTGCTGGATGAAATTGACAAAGAAAAGGTTTGTGTGGAGTTTTATTATGGGCGCTCCGGACAGATGTGCACCAAGATGACGCACAACCTGAACATATGTTCACGTTGTGCGTTATCTTGGTGCACATAATTCCGGTGATGGAAAAGTAAGCCAATACGATAACTCAATTTTATAGCAAATCACTGCCTCTAATATGTTTCGACAATCCATGTCCGGTATGGGAATAGTTGATCATTTCTGATGCATAAACTCGATGGTAGAGAAGGTTGACCAGCGATTATGTGAACCACGCTGCGATGGTACAAGTGTTCAGATCCCTGATCTTTTAGTAATTTAGGACACTTTGCTCAATAGTTCTGTTCTCTCTAGAATGTGATCCGGATTGATCTGAGTGCCGTTTTTTTTTTGCACTCTGTAGATTATTATTTTCCAACTGTTTTGATTATTAATTGTTTTCTTGATTACTTATCTAACATTGATCTTTTTGGCGTTCGCTTGTAGAGTCGAGAGGAGAATAGAAAGGAGAGAGCTGCTCGTAAAAGAGAGAAGCGTAGAAAAAAGAGAAAAGAAAAACAACAATCAACAAAACAAGAGAGAGAAGATTGTGAGAATGAAGAATCTGAGGAAGCTAATGATATCCCTGGTAAATTTATGCTTGGTTTGAAATATAGAATACATGATGTTGGAAAATTCCTGCTTCTAGAAATAATTTAGGATGGTTTTCATTTGAAAATTATCATTTTGAGCAAGAAGGAACAAAAAGGCCTTCATTACATTTTGTAACTATCAGTCGAGATTATGCGAGTCTTACTACATTTCCTTGCTCTATGCTTTTTGCCCAATCCATCCATATGCGTGTAAGGTGTAACGCTAGGATGCTGTAAAGAGAATAAAGATGACTATTCTATTTGTGCAAGAGTCTGGCTGCACACTAAAACATTTGTATTTCTGTAACTTTTTTTCTAAACGATTATTTGAATTGTAACAGAAATACAATTTTGTTAGTGTGCAGCAAGACTCTTGGATGAAATAGAATTTTGCAATGTAATTTTATATATTTCCACAGTCTTCGACTTTTAAGATTGTCCACCGAAATGCGTGTAAATGAATTGTTGATCTGTTAGTTTCAAAGCTTCCAGTGTTTTCAATATCACTTCAATCCTACAAAAAACTTGGTCTATTTCTTATTATATTACTGAAATTTAATCAATTTCTTCAAACAATCACATACGCAATGAACATTCAAAAGCATCAATCTCTCATCTTTACTTATGTTAATCTTACTTCTTTTGAATATTACTGTTCATTTACTATTATTACTTCAACTTGTCAGTACGGTCACCAACTTGTGAACCTCCACCTCCATCAACAGTCTTACCAGAAGCAAGCAAAATCTTAACAACAACGACAACATCAAGTAATAATGATACATCAACGCAATCGTCATCAACAACATCTGAATCAAAAAAATCAAGTAACAAACAAAAACAAACGCTACAGAAAGAACCTTCACCGCCGAGAATTCCTGCTTGTCATGCACCGGCAGATGTAAGGTAAATGATCGAAGTTTTTTTTCAAAATACAACACAAATTTTTTTATCTGTGTCAAATTATTTGCAACCTTTGCAAACTAGTTTTGGTCAGGTAAATCCATTAATTAAGACAAACCAATTCAGGATGAGCACTTTGTCACTGAACTAGAGGGAAGACTACGCGTGGAAAGTTCGAGAGGTCGTTGCTTGTCATAATCCCCTCCGCCAGTTTCAATATGAAAATGTTAGACAGCAATCATTGTGGTTACCACAACTTTTGACCAAATCTTATATCCTGTGGTAGATTTCAGGAAGGACAATTTTTAGCTGATTGTGCATCATATCACATGTCTTTTAACCAACTATGCAGTCTGTGTTTCGGGTTGAAAACTTCCTGATACAAAAATTAAAAATGCTGCTTTTCTATAAGAACATTATTGAACAGATAAAGATGTATTAATTAAATAGAGTAAAAAAAACTGTAAAAAAACTCCATGAACACCCTTATTGTAAACTATTACGATATTTCATATAGAGTAAAGCCAGCATCTCGACCTTCCAAACAACCACCATTATCAACAACATCGGTACTCAATCAACAACTTCAACAAACACCAGGAAGAAGTAAAAATAAAAAAGACGAAGAATGGAAAGAAGTTGTCAGAAAGTAGGATTATTTTCTATTTCAATTGTGATCGGAGACCTTGGTGAAAACCTTTTCCTCAGAACATTTCTCTTTGCTTGAGCATTTCCGTCTCCTGTTCTTAAACATAACTTTAAACATTCTTTAAAACACAGCCATCTTAAATTTACTTTAGATCTAAGAAGATCACAGTCCCATCGAACTTGATATCTCGAGTCATAGGAAGAGGTGGTTGCAATATCAAAGCCATAAGAGAAGTCACAGGTGCTCACATCGATATCAATAAACAACGAAAAGGCCTGGAGAGAACAATCACAATTAGGTATTTACATAAAGTAGATAATCAGGTTTAGCAATAATTTGAAATAGTTCTTGTATTATAGTTATATTGTCAGTCAATCTTGTTTCGGTGTTTCCCTGGTTTTCAATTTTTTAACACTTAACTTCTGTTTGTGTGCATGACTATACTCAAAAGTTATGCTCTATCTAGTATATGTTACAAATGATCTGAGTTCTGCTTTTGGGCCACACTGTACAAATCTCACAAATATGCTTATGTGAGATGAAAAATCATGTTTTGTGAATATGTTGTGTGTGTATTTAAAATCATTGGCACATTTCAATTCTCGGCTGCCTGTTTACAAGCAATCCGAAATGCTTAACGTTTTTCTTCATCATTAGTTCAAACTGTTCAATTATGAAGCTAAATCTTTATTTATTATATATAATTTGTCTTAAAAATTTATTTCAGTTTTATTGTTCCAATGCTAGTAGTACTGTTTTTGATTGATCAGATGAATTATGACATATGATACAGTGAAACGTGTTTTAGTTCAAAAAAATTAATTATAGACCTTTGTTACCATTGAGTTAATGAACGGTCAAAGATCAAGTTCTTCCTTCCTGTTTGTGTAAGGTGCATAGTCCTAAATAATGATGATTTATTTCGAACTTTGAACCAGGAAGGAAATTAATGATCTCTGATTCTCTGTACTTTTGTCATATCTGCTACATAGGAAATAGAACATAGGAACCTAGGACTTCCGGCTTTACATATTAGTAACACAAAAGTCTATAAATTTCAGTTGCAAAATAGGATGTCCAAAATGAAAATCATAAAAAATGTGTTTTTTTCGTGTTTTCTTATATTCATAATTTGTTGTTTTTCTGCAGAACTGCTATTTTCACAGCAAATGATACTCATTTTAATAGTTGAAATGAATTTTAAAGTCAAGATAAATTTGTAGTATATCAAAATTATTCGCATACAAACATTCCTAGACGAATTTAATTTGATTTTAAATTTCGCGTTTGTTCAGTATCTTTGAATTCTAAACCTGAATCATTGTACCTGATTCATTCTTTATTTCATTGTTTCAGGGGACCTGTTGAGTCTATTCGTCATGCTCATGAACTTATCAATGAGTTGACGAAAGATAAGAATTCTGATTGCGATATCCAAGTCATAATAGCAAGCACTCAGAAAAAGTTTGCTTCTTCTGCACCTAAGACGAACTCTGTGTCAACTCATCCAACACAGCCTTCTGCAGTGGAAGCAACAACACTGTCAACACCAAGGACTGTTCCACCAGCAAATGTTACACCTGTGAAAAATGTAAGTAAATTACTGTGGAAAATATAAGTAAATTACTATGAGAAATATATGTGTATGCCCTGAAAATGTAAGCAAATTGCCTTAAAAAATATAAGTGCATCATTACTTATCGATTTTAATCGGTAAGTATGTTGATAGGTATTTGTCTGTCTGTCTGTTAGATGCACGCGATATCTCACGAAAGCGAGATTGAATCTGCTCCAGATTTTGCATGTGCATTCATCATATGTCGGACCAGAGGCCTATTGATTTTTGATGAATTATGTCATATAATTAGCGAGGTATTAATTAATCACACAAGGTGTCTCTATAGAGTAAGAGTCTTCGGTCTCTGACCGATATTCTCGTTTATAAAATTGTTAAGTAATTTAATGTGAAAAATGTAAGTAAACCATAATAAAAATTGTACCTAAATTGCTATGACAAATGTAGGTAAATCATTGTGAAAATTGTTATGTGAATGCCCTGAAAATTTAAATACTGTAAGTAAATGGGTAAAAAAATTGTAAATAATTTGTCATTAGAAGTGTGGTTGACTGGCCATGGTCATTGACTGACTATCATTATAACTGACAAGGCCTGATAAGAGATTGTATTTCAACTTTTTTACCTATAATTGCACTCATATTATGCAGAGGATTTACTCATTACAGTGGAGGCCGAAACTGGAGAAAATTCTAAAAAAAATTAAATTTTTAATATTTCTGTTGGGCCATGAAATAGTTTTTGTATTATAGTCGATCAGTCGATCTTGTTTGGGTGTTTCCCTGGTGCATGATAAAATATTTTGATTTCGAATTCAGGATGACCAAAAAAAAAAGACTAACTCATAAATTTCTTAATTACTCCTAGAAAATGAAGAAACTCATTTAACACTCCTAACATCTGTTTGTACATGACTATACCCAAACGTTTCAGTAACCTAGGACGCTTTTCACAAAAGGTTATGCTCGATCTAGTATATGTTATAAATAACCTGAGTTCTGCTTTTGGGTCACACTGTACAAAGCTCACGAATATGCTTACTGCAAGATCAATTTTTCCATTTACTATCTGTCATATTTGAATTACTCATAATGACGATTCAAGAATAAATGCATTTATTTTGGACATTCATGTAATAATATTCATATTTAATTTGTATTAGGCCCCAAAAACAGTGCCACCAACACAAAGAAGACCCATCGGTAGACCAAAAGAAATTCCAACATCAATGTCATCATCGACTGTACAAAATGACACTGAGAAGAATATCACAGAAAAACTACCAAGTAAGAGTGTGACATACAATTTACCACTATGTACAAAGCTTACTATCAATTAGGACATTGTAGCGTAGTTTAATAAAGAACTTAGCTATGATGGCTTCTCCGGTCAAAATCTGTATTCAAATCCCGTGCCCACTGTATCACCCAGGGTGTAATGAATTGGAGAAAATTTCAGTAGCTCTTTACATATCTGTGGCTGCTCTTTTGAAGGAAAAGGCGTATATAATATGTTGTATAAATTTTATTCGTTTTCTTTTGTCTGACTTTTGCCAGTTTAGTGAAAGTGTAATAGATGCAATCTAAAAACAATTGTTGTATTTGGTTCATAATTTTTTTTAGATGTATCAAAATAATTTTTATCACAATTCTTTCCACATGAACACTAGTTTTGCTAACCTGAAATTTAGTTATTTTTAAAACAAATGTTCTGTATATATTTATTTATGATATTGGTAATATACCATATGTCTCTTTCTCCTTCAAATTGTTGTATTTTTTTTTTTTTTTTTTGGCTCGGTAACGTCATTTTCTCTCAACATGGCCTTCCTTTTTTTGTTTCAAAAATAGCTCATTATTCCATTTATAGTTATATTTTTTCATCATTTTTTCTCTTGACTGCAAATTAAAAATCATCATGATCAAAGTTTAGTTGAAAGACGTGATTCAATCATTGATTTCCTATCTGTTAAATGTACAAAGTTCCATTTAAAATATTAATATATCATGTTGTTATGTAATTATGTATTTCCTTTGACTTCTCAATATATATTCATGGTATATAAATTTTTGAATTGCAACAACTATTCAAATGTTTTATTGTAGGATAATCCAATGCTGTAAAAATTTGCTGTACACTTACAGTACACTTTGCTGTTACACATTTTCGAATCTCATCGTTTTGTAGGACTTTAAAAAAATTACCATGTTTCATCATAATATAAAAGCAAATTTAATAACAGATTGTAATAATCTAATCTGCCTATACTATTGCATGACTAGTTGGTATCTAAAAGGAAACAGCTCAAATGTTTAATTTCATTCAAAACCCACAATGGGACTATATCATTTGTTTTGCATTTCAAGTTCATAAAATTCAGAGATTGTTACCGTTTAGTAAGCTATACATATATAATAGTATCATAGTTATGAACAAGGAAGCGATGCTCAAATATATGGTGAAATATTGTGCAAGCCTAAGAAAAGTATATAAAAAAAGTAATACTTCCATCTTGAGTACTGAAAATTTGGAATCGCCAACAACGAAAATTTAGCAAATCTATCCATAATATGTACACAAGTTTCTAAAAAAAGCTTAGTATGAAGATATAAGTTATCATTCATAATTCTCATTTTTTGCAGAAAATGTGGCTCCTGCCCCTATTCCAGCTGTCTTTTCTTCTGTTCCAATCAAATCGATGGACAATACTGCTGCACCTACATTGCCTATACCACCTACTAGTGTCTCACCTGCAGCTTCGCCACCTATGTCAACTGTGCCATCTGTTGTTGCTAGTCACATGAGCACAGCTCCTCTACCTTTCATGGCTCGTACAGCGGGTAAGTCTATATCCAAATAGTTTGGTATGATGATGTAAAGAATTACAATTATTTTCTTGGTCATCTGCAGAAATAAGTCATTCAATAAAAAATTTGAAATATATTCTAAAATAATATTTTGAATATGGAATATCGCATAAAGGCTAAAGTAGATTTTGTTAAATAAGAAATTGTACATTTGCGGAAATTTAATTAGCTGAAGCTTTTGGGTACAATCATTCAAAAGCAGAAGTTCAAGTGCTGAATAAATTTTCTTAGCAGTAAATAAGAAATTTAAGGGTTTGGAATTCATGAATTCCGAATTTGTAGCAGTGAAAAATAGCTTGTATCGTTATTTATCTTTTTTACTTATAATTCTGTTTTACCAATTACAGGAAAACCAGTGAATCGACCCGTTCAACCAGTAGCTCCAATGATTTCTCTCAAATCATCTCCATATAAGACACAACAACTTGCTGCTCCTGGAAGCCATATCACAACATTTACCACAGCGGGCTACAGTCCCACTGACACATCAACATGGCAACCTTCTGCAATGCGATCTCCAGCAATAGCAGATCATCCAAGACCAATACAACAGATGCGTCCGTTTGATTCAACGCGACAAAATCAAATTCAGCCTTCTAATTTGTATTCATACAATGGTAAGCTATGTTACCACTCGATTGTAAATATTTTTCCATGCAGACTTTGAATTTAATTTACTTAATTATGGCAGTTGTTTGGTATGTGAAAATGTCCATATTTTCAAACTGGTTTGTATTACAAAATTTAAATAATGAATAAATTCAAGATTGAATAGAGAGGGGTCTTATAATGTCTTCCAACTGCTGTGTTATATTTCTATTCAACCGATACAAACTGATTAGTAACTCACACAAGTGAGGAAGATGTTATGCATGGTTCTAGCCAGTGTACAGGTCTCTTAATTTATATGTAAAAAGATTGTCAAGTCTGTGTAGTCTTCACTTATGGTACAGAGTTACAAAAGTTATATACAAATAGCAGACCTCGAACGTCTTACTTGATCACTTCACAGTTGGGGTGACCACTACGGGTCTCAATAGGGATGGTCAAAGCCAAATATTTTCCTATAACAAATATATTTCAAAACAATGCTTTTGAATATAGAATATCGAATATGTTTTAAATTGTGTCATTGCCAATAGATAAATTTGCACAAATTCTAAACGTCCTCCTATTACATTCAATATCATTTTGTAATATTATCCTTGAATTTTGCTAATATCATGATGGCCATAATAGTCTCATGACCTTCGTGTGAATATATTTGTGCTTTTCTCTCTTTGATTTATTTAAGCTCTATTTAAGATAGGTTTGGAATTTAGGATGACTTGAGGCCTTATGTAAATAGAGACACTCCTTAGTGCTCAATATCAAACATAGTTTTCTCATTAGTGTGAAGACTTATTCATATAAACGCTCGAAATGGAATTATTTGTCTTCAGTTGGAGTAGCAAATAAATTCGTAAATACTAAGTATATCAGTGGTACTCATACCTTTACATAAAGATTTTATTTAAATCAACTTTAAATGTATTGAATATTGACAAATGTAGAAATGTTTTTGACGAATTGAAAGACACAATTTTCTCAGAGTCCTTCAAGAGCAATATTTCAACAAAGATTTCTGATTTATATGATTCATATTACATTCCATACAATTTACATTCGGCTGGAATATTGTTGTCATTGCGAAGGCCAAATTAGTTAGTTTCCCTATGTGTACATATATCTCTCTTGTTAATATGGGATTGCTTGGCTATTTTCACACCCATGCTAGACTGGAAAACTTGTGAAAGACTGTTTTGCTAATGAGTCATTCTTCCCCTATTTTGCTTTAGATCGGCTTTCTGAAAATGTGAATTCAAATTTTATGTCACAACAACCAACATCAGGTTATTCTACGAACAATCAGCAGCAACAAATGAAAACATCAGTCTGGGACCAAGATATTCAGTCAGGTATTAACTTGTTATTAAACATATTCAATTGCAATTCGGATTTTTTTGCTAAATTAACAGGGAAATTTATAATCAGGATTTTTGAAATTTTCTCCTATTCTCTAAAATAAAATTCAACTAAAATAATTTTCATGTTTTCTTCAACATTCAGGCCAAATAAGAGTATTTAAAACTTTTTCCAATATTTTGAAATGTGTTTTTTAACCATATGTAGTTTGGTTATATCCTTTGGCAAAGAAGCAATCAAGTTGAAACAAATTAATCAGAATAATAATATTTGACATTATAATATTCCCATATATAAGTGTTTATTCAATACATAATTTAGTTCTGTTCATCTCTTAAAACTACACGAGATTATGTGTGCATATTTCTTGTCTTCACAGGCTATCTGACCTTTATTACTTAGAAACAATATTTCTTCCTGAACTTTGTCCAATGACTCAATCCCCATATTTTCAAAGTTGAAACTTCCTTAATTATAACCAATTGGGTCATAGTTGAGTTACAAAGTCCAAAGGAAGTTTTGTTCTTCCATTATTTATAAATTCGAACCAAGTTTCCTGTAATTTGTACTTTGAATTTGTTATATTGTATTTTATCTTTTCCTGTTGAATCAGCATGTCGCTTAGAATCACTTAAATTCAATGTGAACATAAATGAAAAACTTGGCCGCAATCTCGAAAAAATATGCATTTTCTAAAATCTCAAAAAATTGTTGATCTAAAGCTGTAATAAAAGCTGTCTACTTTTTAGTAGAATAATTCTCGTAATGTCAAAAAACATATTCCATTATTCATCCTAACTCTGCACTCGAATAGCTTGCTAGAAACATGAAAATATATTATAAAAGCCTATTTATTTGTGTGTACTTCGCTGTTTTTCATCGATTTATATACATAAAACAATATATAAGTAGCAATTAGTGACTGCTTGTGGAGGCCTTGTTCTAAGTGAAGGACGTATAAATATATGTATATTGCGTATATGTATGTATCTATCACCATTCACCACTCACCAGTTTCAAAATCTTCAGCATTTCATAACAATATTTATGCGAACCTATAATGCTTTCAAGTCTATAGTTCTACAATTCTGATAATATTTTTAGAATCTATTGCTGCTGGAAACCAACAACAACAGTTAACAGCAAATAACTTACAGAACAACAACACAACACCAGACGTTCAACAGGAGAGAAAGATATGGCCGATAGGAACTGTAAGTTTAATTGTCCTAAGCTTTTTCTCTGTGTATGTTTGCTCTGAATGAGGCACCTGATAAGCCTTATACATAAGCCTTAAAAAAACACAGAGTGATAAAAATTGATGAATAATAATTGGTTATTTACGACTAAATTACCATGAAAACAAAATAATTAACAGTTCTCATTTTTAAGATTTCTTGCTAAGGCATTGAAGCATCTTGGGTTTTGCAAGATTTGTTTGGAGTGATGGCCCTATTTTTTTTTCTTTACAACTAAATAATTCACACACTCTGTTTGGGATAGGCTTTATTTATGTGGTCATGTTATTCACATTGGTATTCCATGACACCACAGCTAATACTTATGATTGATTTTAATGAACCCAAAAGGCGCTCCAGGAGGTAACTAATTTAGTTCGCTTACTTACCTACATCAAGTTGTGTAAAGGGACTGAAACCTATGGGCAGGAGATATATTCACTTGGCTAACACAGACAGTCCCCGAACTCTTAATAGAACTAAAATAAGGAAAATAGGAATAAAACTATGGCCTAACACCTAGCCCTAACACACACTACGGGAGTACCCGAAATTACGCAAACAATGATGCAATGAATCTGTGACTTCAATCTCCTTTAAAATACTTGAAAAAATCTTCCAGACTGAATTTCCTGTATTTTTTCTCATGATTGCCAGTACTTCTATTTGAGACATGTTTCATTATTACAGGAAAGAGCATTCAATCATCGTAGATCCGCAGTTCTGCATCCTGAACAACAACAACAACATATTTCAAATAATAATGCAAGTTTATGGACGATGCCAAGACCAATGCATGATCCCGGTATGTTCTACTTATCTCTTTTTTATTGTTTGTATTTGACTTTAGATTCAAACTGTAGAAGTCATGGAAAAACACCAAGTCGCTTCGTCCAATTTTTTTTTTATACATAAACATATGTCATTCGCTCCGAATAAGGCTCTGCATATTTGACTGTTAGACAAGGAGCTTCTATAGCCCAGAACAGGGGGGGGGCAAGGTTTTTAAACCAGGGGCCATGTAAGTGTAACGGTTACATTTTATAAACGATATTTACAGTGTTACAAAAGCAAAATAGGAAAACAATAAGCCTCGTGCCAAAACTAAATTTAAGTGCAATCTCAACCAATTCTTTGAGCTATTTTTTAGCTAAAACATCGAAATTTGGTTTTAGTTTGGATGTGGCAGCATCAGGCGGGCCAGATTGAATTATCCAACAGACCTGATTTGGCTCGCGGGTCGTAGTTTGCCCGTGTCAGGCTTAGAAGGACAAGGATATTTCTTGTATAGCGTTGCCCAGTTGCCACCAATTGAGTATGCAAGATTGGCTACTACAGAAATGCTGTATGGTTTTAAATATAATATGCTCTTATTTTACCCTAGTGTGTATAAATATATTACAAAATATTTATAACATCTGTCAACAGATTTTATTTAAAAACAAGGCATAGTCATAAGTCATTAATAACCAGTAAAAGGAATCTCAGTGAAGATTCTAAGTTCATCCATCATACATTCTCTCTTAACGAGGCTTTGATTAAGCTGTATTTGATCTGAAATATCCGGTATTGCATATGCTATTTATTACACCCTCTATGAAGTAGGTAAATATAGATTGGTTGGAGTAGTGTAGAACTCAAACCCAAGCTTTTAAAACTAATGCTTAAATGCTAAAAAGCGATAGTTTGCTATTAAGATGAGAATTACACTTAATTTTTCGTTTCTGTTCTGAGTCATTAAATTCCAATTTATACGTGTCATGACATTATTTTTACTATGTGATTATGGTGACAATTTATTGCATCAACAGCTTAATTTTCGCATCATAATTAAAACATGGAATGACTCCGCTATTATTAATCTTTAAATAAATGACTTTCACTTATCATTATCTGAATACAAGACATTTAAACAGGAAATGTTGGACAATAAGCACGTAACAAGAAATTTCATGAGCAAGGAAAATTTCAAAGTCAAACACATGGCATGTTGAAAATTCTGTATAGTTAACTGAATTTTGTGGTTAATAAATTGAGTATGCTATCGCTATGTTTGTTTCTCATTGAACAAATATTAGGTTTAGATATATGAAGGGAATCTTAAACAACGGAACATTGAAAATTAAAATTTTAAATGTGCCATTAGCACATCAGAACAACTATTCGTTATTTCTTATTGAGACTGTTAGAATATATTATTCCATATTATTACATTCCCAAATTATAACTTAAAATTCATGCCCAGAGACCACGAAATTGTTGACACAACACACATAGCAATATTCATATACAAAGCATAACTTAATAGCAAGTTTTCTATTTATTAATGAAAGTAAATTTCAGGAAATATTTGTTTTTGAACACGAAGTTTCTACATAAAAGATTAGTCGCTAAAAGATTATTATTTTACTTTAGATATCAATCGTTAGTGCTAAATTATTGTTTGCCACGAATACTGAATGGCTCGATTTTAATTTTTTAGTAATCAGAAAAAAGTTTCTAGGAGGCTATTACTTCTCTTCAACTTCAAGCAATAGAATATTTCACTCAAAATTTTCCTGTTAGGACTATTTAAACGGAATACTGTTTTGATATTTTACATCTACATCCATTTGATCATTGCTACCTTTTTTCACAGATTCCTATTCCAATTGGACCGGATCAGGAACTCAAAATCCACTTTGGCAAAACGCAATTAACAACAACGCATCTCTCAGTGGTCGAGTTCCACCATTGCCACCTAAACCTCTTGATGGCCAATTTGTGAATAGTGATATGATGATGAATGCTGATCCGCAAAACATCACCTCCGCTTCAATTCGTCCAGAAAAACGAGATTCGATGGAACTCACAAACACGATGCCGGGTCTTTATCAACAACAAGCGGCGAATATGAATAATTTAATCATGACAAACGTATCGGGAGTTGGAACGCAACCTCCTATCGGAAGTCATCTCGGAAATTCAGCAATCGATTCAGCGAATAGAAGCGTTACAGTTGCACCACAGCCTGTTAACCCTTTACAAGTAGGGGTGAGTGGAAATAAATTTCACATACTTGTTAACCGCTGTCAAATTTTGCTTGATTCCCAAATATTGCTCACACTTAGCAAATCTTCATCCTTATTACCTCGTATTCACTTCCAGGCATTCAAAAATCATTTTGGGGGAGGATTGCCTGATCAGATGCATTCTTTTGTTGGGATGTCTGCTGGTGGGCAAGGATATCATTTCGGTGCAAACGAACGTAAGAATTTATTTGCTGCTGCGTCCGATGAAAACAAGAGACTGCCATCAATGATTCCTGAACAATTTTCACGGTTTCCACAGCAAATGCAATTCACTGATAGATTACAGGTACAACAGAATTCAGTTTCATCTGCAGCATTGTCCAAAACGAATTAAATTATGATTTTAGGAAGATTTGGTATAGTTTCCATATTTTTAAGTATTTAAATATGATTGTCAGATACAAAATAAAACCTCATTATTCTGACACTCCAGTGAAAAGAGAATAAATAAAAAAATATCTTTATTATCAAATTCAATTTCTATCAATTTACAATGAATATTGCAAATTTCACTGTTAAATATTAATCATTTAAGACAATATTCCATATTTGAAAATACATTTTTTGAGAATGTATTTGAATAGATATAGGGTAAGCACCAAATTTAAATTGGGTTTAAATACAGCAATCACGAAACTTTTTACAATATTTTTATATATGGTGGTATATCTACCCCTGGACATCAGTAGTATCTCTGTCATATTTTCATTTTCATTTTTAATGTGTTGATAAAAAGTATTTTCTGCAAAGATGTTGTATATATTTATATTCTTATCTTCAATTCAGGAAATGGACAACATGGCGTTCAATCCACAAATGATGATGTCACCAAACATGAGAATGGGAAACGTGATGCAGAAAGATATGTCCATGTTTCAACGCAACGTTGGAATAAGACAACCTAACGTCAGCTCATCACAGCAGAAAAATAATGGTAAGACTAGATTGTTTTTTGATTCTTTGTAAGAGTTGCCTTGTTAATGTGATGAATTTACTGCTTGGCAGACTGTTAGGTAAATATCGTTTGGTATGTGGCATCTCCTAAATATAGATATTTGCCTTTTTTTTTCTGTGTGTTGATACCCGAAATGTTTGTTTTTTAACAATTTTTTTTCTGATTTCAGATTCTGATCCTGCCATGTTATTCAGTGGATCATCTGGTGCTGTCAATTACATGGCTGCTAAAGACAATTCAGTGAGTATTCTGTATAAAAAAAAAAAGAATGTCAATCTTCAAACCATAAATTTGTGTTCTGATATTAGTTTCACTGTTCGTTGAACAAATAGGCAATATTTTTCAGTGAATTTCGGTGCAATGTGGACGTTAAACTCAATATTAACACTTTCTCACAACTTGAATTAGAAATATACTTGCACTCACTAAAGAGCATCATACCCAACAAAATTGGTGTTGCAGGATAAAAATCTGGGATTCATACCTCTTGTCCACCATGTATTATAAATAGGGTAGGCAATGTTAAACTTGAAAAGTTCCGGTTTTTGAAAAAAACAATAGCTCCTTTCGCCTCTGGAGATTCTCGTACATAGCTTAGTGAAGACGTAATGCAATATATCTATTAATTTCTTATTGGTCTCCAATTTATGCTATTTCTTTTACAGAGTTGGAATTGGTGATTTTTTTGTGAAAAACTTCAGACGTCAGCTGCTGGATACTGCCAATAGTAATTAATATCATTTGCAATAGTAGCAAAACTGTTCTTGTCGGTACATACATTTCTGTTGTGTAAACGTTTTTGCCAAGCATGTTGTAGCTACACTTTGTATTAAAGTGCGCCTGGTGTGAGATCATTTTAGATGATATTACATGTTCTGCATTCACTTTTGAAGTCCACATTTGAAAACTTCATTTTAACAACTGATTGATATGGGTGCTTTCCTTCACTTGTGCTCCAAAATTTAAGGATATGTTTGGAAAGTACTATAGACTTCAGCAAGCAAGCGCATCATAATTTTGTTGCCTTTTCCCAAATTTTGTTAATCTTAATATGTTCTCGGTAGATCTATATTTTGGCATAGTGTATTCTCCATCAAAAAGCACGATATTCTTTTTCAAAATATACAGACATTTTTTTGCCTAGATTGCATAATGCCACAAACTTTTTTTTTTGTTTCACTATAGTTGATAAATTAACTTAACTGCCTCGTCAGAATGTTCTCTTCAGCCTAGACATTCCAACCGTGGGCCTTTCAGCTTCGAGACTGCATTTTCTTTTCATGTTTTTGTCTTTATGTTATCTCTTTACTATTTCTACTGGCCTAGTCAGAAATTGCTTCCAGTCGAGCTTCGGTCAAATAATCTCGGACTGTATATAGATAAACTAGCATTTTCTGACTGGGAATAATAGCCTTTCTTTCACTCTTTCGATTCATTTTTTGTCATGTGGTGTCTTTCTCTTTAATATGATTGGCAATTGTATGTTAAATTAATTGAAAGGTTTGGGTAAAAGTCATCCGAAAACTGATTTTTCATTACTTGTTTCTATGGGACCAAGGCAGGAAAAGTACGATTCATTGACAGTTAGCGCTATCAGGTTTCCTTATAAACAGGCAGGTAGATAGGTGAGAAGGCAAACTAAGTTAATTTTGGACCTCGCTCATAATCAAGAGTAATATCTTTTTGGTGTCTAATTTCCTGGGAGACTAGAATATGTTTTGAAATTCTCAACTTATATGTTAATTTAGGTTCAAAAACAAGTCCTGGACGTAGGTTTTGAGCTTTGATCGGTGATTTTGTTCAGAACAAATACTACATTATTGGCTTAAACAGAGTTTAATCATTTCACAATAGAAGATACCTGTGGGCAGTCAATTGACCTTTGTCACCATGCGAGTAAGGAAAATTATTTTTAACCCCAATTCTCTGAAGCGTAATTGATCTCTGTGACCGCGATCAAACATGCGCAGTATAGTATTCAATAGTTGGGTAATTATTGGAGAAAGCGCTTAGGACATGCTAGTCTCTTAATAATATATGGACGACAACACGCTACGTGATCCCTTCATTCAGATCCCAAATGTGAGTATGGCAAGCCCCATCCCAGCTGCCTTTCTTTTGTCACTAAGCAATCCGAAGTGACTACTTTCACCTGACGTTAAAAGTAACATGTTCCCTAGTAATAAGGTAAGATTTATTATGTTATGACGGAGACTTTCGAAATTTGTATGCGAACGATGCAAAATTAAAATTATCGGATTGTCACCGAAGCACCGAATACTGTGGTGAGACGTTTTGTCTTCGTGTCTTATAAAATCATTTAGTTGCTATTAATATAATATCAAATTTATGTTTGGTCTAGATGCGATCCTTTATGGTCCAATGTTTGACTAAAAAACCTACGAAATTTTCGGTTGGAGTCGGCGTGAATAGACGATGTATCACTTGCCCTAGCAAAATACGTTGGTACGTTTTTATTCTTTGCCGGCAGAATATTATTTCTACTGTTTATGTCATGTCAAAAGAGCCTTCTATAAAATACGAATCTAATGCTCAGTATGTACGTAGAAAATATTATTTGCCGGTCTGGTTGACGAATATCTTTAGAAGTTTAGATGACCGTCATTTTTTTCAAATGCCCAGCATGAGGTCTCACTACTGAGTACGGTTGTGGAGTGAGTCGTCACGAATATGTAGCTCAAATTCCGTTGAATGCCATCAGAGTGAGATAATCACACTTATTTAATTCAATCTCCTCTCAGGTAAGATGACTTTGAACAAAAGGTAAACGACCGTTGGGTGGCTTCCTCGCGTTCCGCCGATACTTCATATTATGTGAATGTTTTACGAACTAAAATATTTGCGAGACAGCATTCCATTCATTAAAGCAACACCCCGCCTGTTATACCAGCGATGTGTTGGGGGCGGTGTCTAAAATTAGTTTGTTGACCGACGTCCCAACGTGAATATATCAGACTTTCGTGTTTAAGAACGGCTGACGTAGTTATTATCCAAACATATGGATATTTATATGTCGAAAGAGGGGTTTTGAGAATGTCACTCACTGAACCCAATAAAGGACCGTGTGTATTACGATAATTATATACCATGGCTGAAGTTTTTTTAGTTTTTCGAATGATGAACATGCTTATCGAATTTTCAAACGTAGAGAACCAGTTCTACGTAATTCTATCAAAAACAACCCTATTTCGTACACTGAGCCCTCAAAATTTGGCGCAATATATTATAAAAGTACGCAGGTCTTTTAAAATCACCATACCACGTTTAAGTGGGGGATTTAAAAATCATCATTTTATTGTGATCTTCCTTCCGAAGCATGCAAATAAATCAAATTTCGTATTATAAACAAATTAGACGGATTTACAATACTGTACCTATGTATAAGTATATATATATAAAATGAACAATGTTTCATCAATCTTATTAGATTACAGATTACGGTGCAAGTAAAACGAACTAATTTTCGCCCATGCCTCGTGGAATATACCTTGGAGATTTGACACAGTTGTGATAAATTTTCAATCAATGGTAAAATAGTACTAATGGATGTTGTCTTCACAGCGCTAAACACCGAATATCACATTCGTCATTTAATTACTCTACAAGCAAATACCGCACCTAACGTCATATTTAGGTCATTTCGAAACCGACAGCGACATACATTTTCCGTAAATTATCACCCCTTGACTCACTGAAACATTTTCATTGAATAGGTTATTATTACGGTCGAAATAATCTCATAGTAAAACAGCTTAAACACCGGTTATATTCTGATTCGGAAAATACTTTTCTGGTTGTTATTGGCGGCATGTGATGAAAACTTGCTCTCAGCCGTAATCTGACGAATCCAAATTGTTTTGACAGCCACAGATGGGCATCGCGTGTACGATATATAATTTGGTATCAGTTTACCCATGAATCTTGTTAGATCTGTAGATATCAAGTGCGGTTTCGTGAGTGAGATGATAATGAAAGTACTTTTTACGACGAAATTAGGTCCGCCATTTAAATTAATTACATGTCAGCGTCTGCGAGAGAGGTCCATAGTTAGCGATCCGCAGGTTGACCCTATTTTCCTGATCTTTCATTCGCTCCAATTTACTGATGTCATTAGTCGACAATAGCTATTGTTTCGTAATGACCTCGTTAATAAATCTGATTAGTCTGCGACCTCGTTGAGAAGGCCGTCATTTTCGCAGGCAATTGGTCGTTAATTTAACGTTGATATTTTAATCCCTTCCGAAGAAAACGAATATACCAAATTGAAACAAAAATGACACGTTGGAAACTATGTCAGACTCAACCAAAATATTGTATTCAATAAATATCTATGTTATCACGTTACGCTGCCAAAAATTGGCGCCTCGTTACAGATAATATGCAAAATGTTTGGTAAATTGTGATTTTCGTATAAATACAAGATAACTGCGAGGCAGTGCCGTTGGATCAATGCGAAATCTGAAATAGTGAATGTGCATTCGTCTTTTCAACTGTATTTAATTTTGCATGGGTAACAACTGCTAATCAACACCCACTCGTCTTATCTTAGATGGAGACAAAAACAACAATGTTAGCACCAGCAGATTTAAGAGCCCACTGCTTCGTTAGCAACTAACTAGACTACTCAAACCGGTTTTGGTACTAGCAGATTGGGACCCCACTTCGACAGCAACAAGGCTATATGGCACCATGGCACGACAGACGTTTCTAAACCACGTTTCGGTATTACTGCGTGACATTTACGCGCAGTCGAGTCTCATTTCTTCACTTGACTTGGTTAATGCTTTACATTCTGAATTTCTCTTTCTGATATTTACAACAATTCGAAGCACAGTACAACATGATTAACAAACGCAGTTTATTAACGGCGGAGCAAAATATAGAAGATATTTTTCGAATCCAACCATACAAGAATATAACAAGTAGACAAACATGTTAAACAGTATAATATATATTCCAAAATAAAAAAGAAGCGAATGATAAACACAATGAAGCATTTTGTTAAACCTTGTAAAGCGTATTTATCGTTACTTGTAGCTAGTTAAAATAGGCAAGCCATGACGCATTTTCAAGTTGAAGTTTGTAAAATGACTGACCAAGTATATCCACAAGGAATATATCATTGGCTTCAACTTTCTTGAATTTAATATAGTAGTAATACTTTACTGGTAATAATAAATGCTGAGAGACTTAATAAAAAACTACCTTAATCATTGGCAACACGTTTCCTCATCACTAAGAATATACTAAATATATATGTAAGTAAATGTAGGATGGTTGCTCATTACTCTGCATTCAATAAATTGAGAAAGAAGAATTCTGAAACACTTATTATCAAAAATAACTTCTAATTGTATCAATAGTAATCCATGCATTTCTAAACAAGGAAATACCAAACAAGAATTGAAAAATTCCAAGAAAAAGTATAAAGTTTAATTCCAAGTCAGAATAAGGAAAATTAATCAATATTTCGTTGCAATTTAGGACTCTGTCAGCAATTGCAGCTCAGGCGAGGCCAGCCACACTTAAATCACAGTAATAAACTGATGTTGTTGTTTTATTCAAATGGCATTTGAGCATGACTTATATCAGACACAAGATATCCCATGGGATGACAGGAGTTCCCTTGTCAATGTCAAACGTTGTATGTGTAATAGACCATCGGACCATGATAAGTTTCAATACTTTTATCATTGAGAAGTCTATGATCGAAACAGATTATGACGAAATAATCATATCCTTCATGATTGAGAGAGTGGATCAAAAAACTGGTCGCAAGTCATCAATGTAATTTGTTCAATAATCACATACCGGTAGTTTGAACTACAAATTGCTGTAGGGCAAAACTAAGTATGACACAGAGACAGAAAATGACAAATAGAAGAGTATTCTATAGTCGGAAACAGGAAGAGAACTAGAACGGTCTGTACAGAAATTACCATTGAACCAGAGTTGATGAAAAAAACTTCCATGAAAAGAATATATTCCCTTTTACTGTGATATATTGCTATTCTAACTGGTCATAAACAAGAAAATGTTAACTACGGTACATAAAACAGATTTTAGTGACGATCAATTTTGTTTTAAACTTCAGATGGCCACATTCAGGGGCGACATAACAACCCTTCCAAAACCAAGAAAAATATTGCAATTAGCGAGCTCACACATCACAAATATAAAGAAAACCTGCACACAAACTGTATAAACTTTTGAAAAGTGGAAAAAGCAAAATATGAAGCAAACAACTTGGGTAACGAAATGATTACAGAAATAGATTTGGCATTTGAATATTATGATAAAATAAAAACCAATGTCCATTGACATGGGTTGGATTTGCCTTATAAAGTAACCTGCTGTTCCTGAATGATTCACCTATAAAATAAATTTATAATTTTTCAGAATATAAATTTTGTTCCAAGGTGAAAGCTTAAACAACTTATTTTGTGGAATGAACACAAACGAATATTCACTGATTATAATTACTTCAATATACCATCAAGATAGAGTTAACCAGCATCACATGGTTGGTTTTTTTATACAACTGTTTCAAATGCTTGAAAAAGCTCTAATGACATAACCAAAGTGCTGTATACGCCTGCGTACGTTACAATTCAGGGACAAATAGAACCACCAAGCCAACAAGGTACAAAATCAGATCCAGACTTTCACAGGAATATAAGCGCTCATACATACTGTTAAATCTATATAGCAACACTATGAGTTAATATTGCCATGTATAGTCCATTCACTTACCAATCATAATGAAAAAAAAAAATCAAAAACAAAGTGCAGTGTAGACAAGAGTGCATAACTCCAAAACCATGAGGAAATATATTGCTCAGAACTGAAACAAGGATAATACAAAATGAATCCAATTACTTGACACACGCTAAAATACAAGCTTTTGCCAGATGTTGGCCATATATTGCCCCTTACAAAAGCAGTTCGTGATATATTGTGCAAAATGCAAGCATTTTGTTATGAGATCCACAAGCAAAAATGAAATTACAAAAGTGTCAGTGACAGGTGTATTTTGTGTAATTTAATCTATGTTCCAATTCTCAGCACCACGGATATGATAAATGTCATAGGCACAGCTATAAGAAATTTATCATTAAATTTTAGTCCCATAGATGGTCTATGAGCCAGTAGGAAAAATACCTCTGGTATCAGTGGAGAACAGTTGGCTCAACCTATTCATCCACTAATAAAATCGGCCCTTATTCTCCCAGTCTAACCAAGTGTTGAATTGTGGGGACGGTAATTCACAGTAAGTGCTCGGCAGTGCATGAACTTTGTCAGTTGATGGTTTTACACAGTTACTGACAACAGAAACATTAGTTGAAATGACATAATTTCCACCATTATTATTGTCCCAGAACTCACCCTTTTCAGATGCAAAGCAAATACAAAATTGAACATTTTGCATAACCGGGTCAAAAGACTTTGGGACGGCAATGTTGAACTGGAAGGTATCGTAGATTTCATCATCACAAAAGTTTTTAATATACGTAGCTTCGTGGTCACTGAATGATAACCATTTGTCAAAAGTTATTCTGACAAACACCTTTTTCTCAAAACTTATATTTTTCACCTTAATCGTACCGCTGATGGAAGTTAACTCCTTCAGTATCACATTTTCCAAAGACACATTATTAATTTCCAAATTTTGTTTAAATTTAATATAATCTGCAGCAGGCTGTTTAAAATCGGCAACCAAGGTTTGCTTTTCCGGAGCAATCGAAGGCTCCTGCGCACAAGCAGCAGATGATAGTCTTAACGATCGCATGACAAATCCCAGGTCTTCCCAAACAGGTGGTTCAGTTGTTGCTTCCTTCATATACTTAATCATTGTTAATGACATTCCGTGAGTGTCTGCAAATGTTACTTTTTTACTCTTACTAACTGCTGTATTCATTCTTAAGCAAGATTTGATAACAGAGTCTAGATAAACAGAGTCTGATTCTGGAGAAATTCCATTTACTGGAGATGGGGTTCGCAATGGGTTTCCAACTTTTCCATCAAATACATCTAGGTGTCTATATCCATTGACTTTTGCGTTTTCCATGTAACGAGTAAATTGATTTCTACACGAACGCCGGATAAGATCTGGCACCACATTCATGTATTGTTCTGAGCATGCTGAGTGTAAAGGAGGGCTGGAAGAATATATAAACGAGAGATCACCAGGCATTCCGTGAGGATTGTAGTAGTCGTACCTAAAATAAACACAAAAGCAAACATATATTAAAACATACTCATGAACAAAAAATCACAGAAAAAAGAAAATTATGATAAACTCAAAAATAAATATCAATGAAAAAAAATTCAATCAAAATTTTATAATTACCCTAACGAGTATGGGAAGAAACAAACATATTCAACATATCAAGTATTGTATTATAGTAAATATGCATACCTATTGGAACTTCTTTCAAGTGTAGTGTCTGCTTTAGATGAGACCGTCATGTGAATTTTGCAAATTTTCAACTACAGTGCAATCAATTTCCTTCTTCTAATATCAGATTTACTCCCAGTTTCCAATCACTGCATTCAATTAGGGGCAAATCTACCAAAATCTAACACTGTTTAAAAAAAATAGGATTGTCAACTTTGATTTGAATTATATATAATAATTCATGATGGTGCAAGACATTTTAAAAATGAAAGAAGATGCCACATGTGATATAGCAAGTATTCATTGTCTGCCCTCTTTTTACCAATACCATATGAAATGATGAATTTGGTTTAATCATTTGTTAAAGGCGAACGAGACACGGAAACAATTTGTGGTAGTGTGCCATTTATCACAAAAGGTTGAAATAGTTTGAGCTATAGTTATTAACAATAATCATTGAAGTTATTAAAATTTAACTGTGATAAAAACATTACACAAACCACCTATCAAATTCTCAAGTATTAGCTCATTACTACGGTAATATAAAATGTGCCATAAACATCTATTTAAAGTTTTAAACCATGCTGTTCACCAAGCTAATTCAATACATTTAATTAAATAGTAAAATTTATTTTATATTAGTAACAGATACATTAAACCAGTAGTGCAAATGTGCAATGTTGAGGTATATTTTAAAGACTAAAAATTTAGGGTATGCTAAAACTGAGAACTTGTAAAGTCAGTTGCCAATGCTATTATCTAAAAACCAAATCTGATCAACCAAATTTAAGTTACGATTTGGCCATACTGTTTTATAACACAGCTATAATGATGACAGAATTATGACCTAAGTGTTAAATGTCACCAATATTCAGTGTGACTAATGTAGCAGACATAATAGTTTAAAAGTCGTCATGGTAGGCTGGTTCAGAGTCATTATCAAATATAAATATATGAGTTGATGCGAATACCAACCAGCTGTTACAACACTAAATCCTCTTTATGACATAACAAGCCATATATTGTAGAGGAATCAATCAACAAAACCAAAAATTAAATTCTTTATTCACAAAAATTACAGATCAATAACCTACAGGAGTGGTGACTCCTCTACGGCCCATGGGCCGGGGCCACGACCCATCTAATTGGGCCACATGGGCCGTGGCCCATAGCTTGATGGGCCGCAGCCCCATCAAGAAAAATTCAATTATCTTAACAAAATTTTCAATTTTTACCAAATTGTCAATATTCAAACCAAAAAAATATACTCCTGTAGTATGTGTACCAGGTTAGGGTTAGAACAATAAAAATTCAGGTTTTTTTACATTATAGTTCTATTATGAGTTCGGGGACTGTCTGTGTTAGCCAAGTGAATAGTTTCTTTACACAACTTGATGGGCCGCGGCCCATAGCCTGATGGGCCGAGGCCCAATTTGATGGGCCGTGGCCCCGGCCCATGGGCCGCAGAGGAGTCACCACTCCCACTCTCAATAACAGAAAGCAATTAGCTATCTATTTTGATCACAATCTACAATACAACCTACAACACCGGGCGCTGGATTTAACAAAAAAACTGTTCTATTAAGGCACTAGCTATTGTCGATTTAAAGTATGGTAATATGTTTGATCGTCCAATTATAAAAGTGGAACCTATGGAACATTCCTACCTAGGATATATGTAAAAAATACCATAATCTTAACAAACATTCATAGACAAACGTAGACCCAAGTTAACATATCTAACTATTCTGCCAGTATGCTGACAATTGTTATTACATATCTACATATAGAAATAAACCAAGATTAACAAATACAAAAGTGTCAATTGCACGTCGACACTACACATCATTTTGTCTACTCACACCAGCGACTCCACTAGGCAATGTGAATCAAGTATCATCAGGCTCGAATAAATATAGCAAAAAAATAAACCCCAATAACCTTTTTGTATATTTATGCCATTGCATGGTTGAATTTGTCTACCATAAGTGCACTCGCCGACATCCGACATAACTACAATGATGAGAAACGCCAATGAGAAAAAAATATATTTACCGTTTGTTGACATAATTTACATGATTAAACAATGAGTCTAGAAGTTTCTAGACATAAATCACAATTTTTTATTTACAGTCTAGACAAATTAGAATGTGTCAATATTATTCATCCTTAGAGACAATACTTCTAAAATCATATTTGAATGTGTGCAATATTAAACAATTCCTTAATTACTTAAATTTGAGCAAGAACACACTTGCAATTAAGGAAATCGTAATAATAAGAATAAAGGTTCTTGTTGTTCCAATTACGATTAATTGTAATCAATATTAATAGCATAAAATATTGATTTCAGATAGAAAGGCACAGGGCAGAATATTTTGAAGAGTACTGCATTTTTGTGGCTGTGCATACACACAGGATGAAAGTAATAAAAATGACACAATATTGTTTTAAGAAAAATTCGATAAAAATTTGACTGAAATATTACTTTATCAACTGATTGGATTGTAAAATGATGGATTATGAAATATTTTCTGTCAATATTAATTAATAGCTTTGCCCTCGGTTTACATTATGCCCCGAGCAAACAGTAAGACATATATATGACATGATTTCAACATCTTCTCTAATTCAATACCGGTACCTTGTGTTATTCGTTAATAAATAACAAACCTAAATTTGAAATTGTCAAACTACTGAACAAATATAATTTATGCAGTAATAAAAAAAACTTTCATCAAAAAAATGAACTACCACCTAAATTAACAATAGGTTCTCAAAGTTTATGGTCTCCATCCCCCTACTGCTGAATAGCGGCATAAAAACTAATACCTTTCTATATGTACAGCAAACATGTAAAACCTTTTACATGGTTACATAGCTAAAAGAAACATTCTTAATAAGAGCTTCAATACCTGGAAAACAACAATGCACAATGTAATACTGTGATACCTATGTAGAAAAAAACTTGAGAAATGTGGATCAAATGTCGATTTTTTTCCTTCTAGTTTAAACACAAATTGTCCTAATTCTATAACTTCAAGCTCTTGTTAATCAGGAAATTACACAACATAGAAGGGCCGATGAAATGCAGTGATAAGGTAATCTTTGTATTATCATTTGAATACAGGTTAAGCTTTAGACAAACATGAAACAATCAGACAAGCAAACCGAATACAAAATTAATTAGGTCTGTCTTTTTCTATGATTAAAACTCATCCTAACCAAGTCAAGATCAGTTTTTTTAGGAGTATGTCTGTATGAGATACCTTACACCAGGACTTAGAGCTGTACGGTAATTGCTTTGTTTAACAATATTCATATATTATTGCAGTATTGTCACACTCCTGCACTCACAGACTCGTCAGCTTGTAGGTCAGTACCGTGATGCTCACAAAACGGTTTGAGTTAAAACTGGTAAGGCTACTTTCAGAACTTTTACAGAACCCTGATATTGTGATATAGGTACGGTACAGGTACCGGTAACGCACTTACTGACTTAGTGATATTTGACATATACGGTATTTGATTGCTCTACAAATAACTGATAGCGTCAATATAATCACATCCCACCCGAGTCAGCAAGTCCTGAATTTTCATAACTTTCTACAGTTCTACAGCCGGTTGTTATTCGAACGAATATACACATTGACAAATGCTCTTGTACCGGTATAGCGAAACGATGTATCCCGCTCTATGCTCCACAACAAGAGATAAGAGATAATCGGAAGATAATGTTCCAACAGTCTGCAGTCTCGTCTTGCGTAACATCCGTTCTTGTATAAGCTACTCAGACCCAAGCCTGCTACCAAAAACCTTAAACCCCCATTTGCAAACATATTTCAGTTACTCCGGGGCATTTCGCAACTGCTCAACGTCCACGAGAAAGGCGATTTCACAACGCTTCAGCGATAGCATGCACAAGTTCCACGACCGATATACGCGTGATGCAATGAAAACACACCAAGTTTACATGAAAAGGCCACGCACTATACGCGTGATCATTTCCACGCAGCGAAACCAGACGAACAACGTAGTTCAAATGGGTATATACGCCGATATTTGAGCAATGGTGATAATTTCTGTGCCAAGTTATTACACGAGAAGGGAACACTGTACACACATCCCCTTCCCCACTCAGTCGATATCTCATTTTTGCGTGCTTTTATATCGAAGTCGACTAATATCCTTCAATTTAATATTTGAAACCTCGCTATCACAAGTGTGGATTATTTGTTCGCTTCTACTATTCCGTGATTCAAAAGCGTCTCTTTTTATTCAATTTTGAGTAGGTTCGCTTTTTGTTTATTGTCGGAAATATATAACTGTCCTCAAAATTAGGTTTAAATTTTAACTCTGAAGTCGGATAATTTCGTCGAAACATTCAAATGAGTTAATGATCAAATTTAAACGTTTCGGTTTTATTGCGAGACGTCACCATTCTGCATTCACTGATACACACAGCTACCAAATAAGAAGTTTCGGTACGCATTTCATTTGCAGCCATTTTAAACCGCGGAAAGAGACAATATCACGCATTATCGACCAGTCGAACGATACGATTCATCGGCCGACTGAGTCTGATGGATAAAAGTTACGGATCCCAGCGCCGCGAGAGAGTGTCCATTCGCCGCGAGCTAGCGAGCACGTATACCGCACGAGACATGACGTCAATGAATTCCAACATTGCAAGCTGAGCGCGTGTGACCTAATCGTTTTTAAACATGCAAAAATCGATTCTAGTAAGGCTAAAGCGCGGTATTCCCATAAATATCTCTTCTCTCGCAAAGCTAACTAGCCCATTTACAACATTTGCCTGGCAGTTTATAGGCTACTATTTTCTGGAATATGTTATTCTCAAATCCGATATTATTGTAGCAAAAGGGTTAATTAACGGCACGTGAGCACGGAGATATTTAACGGAAGAGCCAATATAAACGAACCCAATTCAACCAATAAGTTTTGTTTACTTGGTAAGTGTGGACTGCGGTTATTTTTGAGCCCATATGACCCTTTTGTGCGCTGCAGAGTGTAGCATTTTAATCGGTAGGGTTATTTCCGATGCACAAATAATTTTACCCCATAATTCTAAGTTTGACCTAAAATGCATGCTGCAAAGGATGCAGATATCTATTCCAGAGAAAAGCAAGCAAGAAAACTATGCTCAAATAGGCGGAGGGCAAAATG